TTGATTTTGGTCCTCTTAGTGTTGATTCTGGTCCTCTTAGTGTTGATTCTGGTCCTCTTATTATTGCTGTGGTCCTACTAGTGCACATACAACCTGTGGGGTCAGCGAGGGTCTGGATGTCTATCTAAATTCTTCATTGTCATTTGTAGGTCTTTATAAACACGGTTGTTTACTTTAGAATTGATTCTTGCAATAGTTTGTGGGCATGCCTAATCACTTACTGAAAAGACTTCAGTCCGTACTGAAACTGAAATGCTCTGCATAACTATGGGCTTTTTGCATGCACAACTGTCACCCATTTCTGCACAGACATTGTATCATGGCGAAATCAAATTATTATTATTGTTGTTGTTTTCCCACTAGTCCCTGTTTGTATGCGCTGTATTTATTCCCTATCAAGGGAAGAATTGAATTTTATTTTTTTTTAGCATATAAAGGTATTATAAAGTCTAATGAAGCCTAATACCTTGCTGATATCCTTGTATCTTTTTCATTAGGCTCGGGAATGTTTTACAATTTTTCTGCCGACTCTTGTAGACTGAGCTTCGTGCTGTTGGGAAGGAATCGTTGACAGAAAGAGCCTTTTCTGATGTAGCTCTCACGTTGTTTAAGAACATAAGAACATAAGAACGAAGGAACACTGCGGAAGGCCTACTGGCCCATGCGAGGCAGGTCCAAGTCTCCTACCGGCTTAAGCCAATGCACCCAACCTAGTCAGGTCAGGTCACATTGACTTAAGGGAGGAACACGGCAACCGACCTGGTAGGCACAAGCTATCAGGTCTAACTCACACCCACCCACATCCACTCATGTATTTATCCAACCTATTTTTAAAGCTACACAACGTTCTGGCCTCTATAACGGTACTTGGGAGTTTGTTCCACTCATCCACAACTCTATTACCAAACCAGTACTTTCCTATATCCTTCCTGAATCTGAATTTTTCCAACTTAAAACCATTGCTGCGAGTCCTGTCTAGGCTAGATATTTTCAGCACACTATTTACATCCCCTTTATTTATTCCTGTCTTCCATTTATACACCTCAATCATATCCCCCCTAATTCTACGTCTTTCTAGAGAGTGCAGATTCAGGGCCCTTAGTCTATCCTCATAGGGAAGGTTTCTGATACATGGGATCAACTTTGTCATCCTCCTTTGTACATTTTCCAGAGAATTTATATCCATTCTGTAATAAGGTGACCAAAACTGTGCAGCATAATCTAAATGAGGCCTAACCAAGGATGTATAGAGTTGAAGAACAACCTGAGGACTCCTATTATTTATGCTTCTTGATATGAAGCCAAGGATTCTATTAGCTTTATTGCGAACACTTATGCACTGTTGTCTTGGTTTCAGATTACTGCTAACCAGAACTCCTAAATCTTTTTCGCAATCCGTAATATTAAGATCTACATTATTTAGTTTATATGTGGCATGGTTATTGTCCTGTCCAACATTTAGAACTTTGCATTTGTCTATATTAAACTGCATCTGCCACTTCTCCGACCACTGCATCAGTCTATTCAAATCTTCCTGGAGTGCTCGAATGTCCTCGTCAGAATGAATTCGACGGCCTATTTTGGTGTCATCGGCAAACTTGCCGATGTCGCTCTTTATGCCCTCATCTATGTCGTTTATGTAGATTGTGAACAGCAGGGGGCCCAACACTGACCCCTGTGGAACACCGCTCGTGACACTTCCCCACTCTGATTTCTCCCCATTTATGCAAACTCTCTGCTGCCTATTTGTCAACCATGCCTCTATCCAGGAAAAAATTTCTCCTCCTATTCCATGTGCTTTAATTTTCCTCAATAGTCTCTGATGTGGGACCCTGTCAAAAGCCTTACTGAAGTCCATATACACAATATCATATTCATTACCATGATCTACCTCCTCAAATACCTTAGTGAAAAAAGTTAATAAATTCGTAAGGCAGGAACGCCCCTTTGTAAAACCATGCTGAGATTCGTTGATTAATTTATGCTTTTCAAGGTGGCTACGAACTGCCTCGGCAATTATTGATTCCATAAATTTTCCCACTATGGAGGTTAGGCTTATTGGTCTATAGTTCGAAGCTAAGGACCTGTCACCTGTTTTGAAAATAGGTATCACATTTGCCATTTTCCACTTATCTGGCACCATGCCAGTTTGTAGTGATATGTTGAAAAGATTAGCCAAAGGTGTGCTAAGCTCCTCTTTACATTCCTTTAGAACCCTTGCATACAGTTCATCAGGGCCTGGGGATTTGTTAGGTTTTAATTTATCTATTTGCCTAAGGACCATGTCACTTGTGACCCTAATAGTGCACAGTTTATTATCGTCCTGTTCTACATAATTTATCATTACTGGAATATCGCTGGTATCCTCCTGTGTAAAAACTGAGAGGAAGTATGTGTTAAAAATTCTACACATTTCCTTATCACTGTCAGTGAGCTGACCCGAGGAACTTTTGAGTGGGCCTATCTTGTCCCTGATCTTACTTCTGTATACCTGAAAGAATCCTTTTGGGTTAGTCTTCGATTCTCTTGCAACTTTAACCTCATAATCTCTTTTTGCTTTTCTAATTCCCTTTTTTATTTCTCTCTTTAACTGAATATATCGATTTCTCAATTGCCCCTCTCCTCTTTTGATTTGCCTATATATGCCTCTCTTTTGACCAATCAGATATTTTAATCTATTGTTCATCCATTTAGGATCATTTTTGTTTGATCTGATTTCCCTATTTGGAACATAATTTGACTGAGCAGCTAGAACTATGCCCTGGAAAGCATCATATCGGCAACCATCACCACCTACCTGACCCTTAGTCAGGTCATTCCAGTTCAGCCCACCTAAGTATTTTTTCAGTCCTATGAAATCAGCCAAGCGAAAGTCAGGGACGGAGACTTGATTGCCATTATTAGGGGAATTCCATGATATATTAAAACTGAGTGATTTGTGATCACTTTCCCCAAGCTCATCATTAACCTCAAGATTATTAATTAGTGTTTCCCTACTGGCAAGAACCAAGTCAAGGAGGTTATTTCCCCTAGTTGGCTCTGTCACAAACTGTTTTAAAAAACAATCCTGGGTCGTATCAAGAAAGTCACCTGACTCTAAATTTCCTGTCAAATTGCTCCAGTCAATCTGTCTATAGTTGAAATCTCCCATTAGCACAACATTTTCGTATGTAGATGCCTTACGAATTTCGTCCCATAGAAGTTTACTGCACTCCCTATCAAGATTTGGGGCCCTGTAAATCACACCCAAAATTAGTTTTTCTCGGCCCTCGAGAAGCTGTAACCAAACAGATTCAGTGGCTGACGCTTCTAATTTAATATCTTGTCTAACACAACAATTTAAATTGTCTCTGACATACATCGCTACTCCACCACCTTTCCTGTTGACCCTGTCAGTGTGGAATAATTTATAGCCTTGTATGTGACATTCAGAGGGCATCTCTCTATCTTTCAGATTGAGCCAGGTCTCCGTTATAGCAATAATATCTATGTTTCCTGCACTTGCAATTAATCTTAGCTCATCTATCTTATTTCTTACACTCCTGCTATTAGTATAGTAAACCTTAAGGGAGCTAGTCCCTTGCTGCCCTCTGCTGTCCCCCTTTGTTTGCTGACCTGATCTATTGTCTTTATTTATAACTTCATGCTGAATGCCTTTTATACATTTACTGTTTCCAACCCAAGTGTTGCAACCTGCTTGTTTCCCACACACACCCATACCTCTATCTTCCATCAGTTTAAAATCATAGGCATTTCACCAATGGCCTTCTCAATCGAGTCTGCAAGTGCTACCACCCCAGCCCCAGAGAGATGTACCCCATCCCTTGCATACATATCATGTTTGCCATAAAAGTTGTTCCAGTTGTCAATGAATGGGATTGCAAGTTCCTTGCAGTATCTGTCTAGCCAGCAATTTACACCAATTGCCCTAGACAACCATTCATTTCCTACTCCCCTTCTAGGCAAGATGCTACATATGATTGGGATCCCTCCCTCCGTGTCTGTTAAGAGCGAGGAATCTATTCATACTTGCAAGCCTCAGTTGAAAGCACATCTCTTCTCTTGAAGCTTATTATGCTGGTGATCATACTGTCACCAGATCGACATCATGCCTAACCCTTCTAGGGTAGGGTAGGTGCCTGAGCCCGAGCCTTTAGCTCATAAGACTGTCATTCCCATTTGCCCCCTTGGGGCGGGGATGGCAGACCAGAGAGGCCTAGCTTGTGGCTAGGCCTGGGGACAGTTGGTCCCAAAGATGAGGAGGTACTTGTGCCTCCTCCCATGGGAGACTTAGGTCTCAGACACTCCCTAAAGAGGGAGCCAAGGCCGGGCCACCACTTGGACAAGGCCCGGGCCGGGAGAATACCGGCTAATCTTTAATAATAATAAACATACTGTCACTCTTAAATATAAATTTGGTGTGAGAGTGAAGCTGAATTATCTGATAGAATAGGTGCTCATTATTATTGTTATTATAATCAAGGGGGAAGCGCTAAACCCGTAGGATTATACAGCGCCTGTGGGGAGGATGGAAGGTATTCAGGGAACTGGAGCACAGATCCAGTTCCTTAGATCAAGAGCCCCTCACCAGCATCAAGGAACCTTCCTTGAGGGGAGAATAGGTGCTCAAGAATAACAAAGTTCCAGATTATTATTATTTAAGGTTATTAACTATCCAGAGGTAATCCGAAGGTTGTATTTCCATTTCTTCTTCCATTATTTAGTGACCTGAGGCATGTTTTGAATCGCTGATACTTTTAGAGTTGAATTGACCGGGTGTTGAAGAATTAGACACGTGCAACGTCTGGGTATCTTTATTTGTAGGCGTTTCGCCATTGGATGACGAAACGTCTACAGATTAGGATTCTACCCAGATGTTACATATGTATCTTGATTCTTCATCTTGTCGGTATTGTATACCAGGTGTTGCATCCCCCCCTCTGCCACACGTGTTGACCTGGTGTGCCTGTGACTGACCCCTGGGTGTAACCTTCCTTCAGACAGTGTGAGCAGATCGCTGGCGCTGCTGGAGGCACAGCAACGGAGGGAGGTTCTTCATGAGGAAGAACGAGGGCGTCGACTTGCCCAGGAGATCAAAGGCTTCAATTGGCTCGAGGAGAAGATCAAGAACGGCTCGCTGCTCTCCTCGTCATCTACTCCATCTACGCCTTCTACTCCATCTACGCCCTCTACACCCAGCCTGGCTTCGAAAACCTCGTCAGTATCGTCACTATCTTCAGATTCTTCAACGCCATCTTCCGCAACTCCGTTTTCTTTCCCGACGAGGAAGGAGGAAGGGGGAGACTCCAGGAAAAGCTCGTAAGTACATTTAAATCTTATACAACCATGGTAACATCGCACATCCCTACATAAGGCCATATTTTGCGGGAAAATAGTATACCCTTCTCTCCTACATTCCCTAATATAAACCTCGCTTTACCGATATGCACTCGTTAATGCTTTTAATAACGTAAGTTTATTTAGGTACACTTAAGTACAATTATCATACATAATGTAAATCACCCAGGAAACCCCCAAAAAAGTCAATGACTTATTTCCGTTGGGGTCCTTGATTTCCATCTGTGTCCTTGATTTTCATTGGGCCCTTAATTTCCATTGGGGTTGTTGATATCCATTGGGGTACTACCTATGCTGTGCAGTTGCAACATCTGCCACGTTGCTTCCCTACCCAACCTGTCATCTAAACTCATAGTGAGACATTTTATTGCCTTTAGCTAAGCACTGTTAACTTATTTGTCTCAGTCTTGGTCACCAGGTCCACTGTCTTCCTCTTGTAGTTGATAGGCTTGAAACCTAACGTACTAAAGACCTCTTGTTACATGACTAGAAGCTACACTGGGACGGGTGATTATATGACCATCCTCAGGAAATTTTCCTTTCATTTGCCAGAGTAAATACCAACACCGCCTCTTACAGATGTGACATTTATTGGATAAGAGACATGTTCAGCAGTTAGGCATTTTTATTCTGAAACGTTGGCTTCTTCAGTCGAGTACTGATGTAGCAGAATCAGTAGAGTTGTAAAGACGATGTAATCAGTCCATCATCCCCAAAGACAGTTTTAAGGTGGTCAGTCCCTCAGCCTGGAGAAGAGTTTTATTCATAATGTGGAACATTGTGAGGCTGAAGCGATAGTATGGAGACTTTTATACTGTCAAAGGTGAGGCGGAGATAATCTTGATGACAGGAGAGGCGGGGCCCACTAGAAAAAGAAAGTAATCATTGAGAGAGCAGGCCCTCTCATATCCATCCCTTCTCACTCGTAACTAGTGGTAAGACAAAAAAGTTATCGGTGTTGTCTACCAAGATACCGTTGTGTTGCAGTGTCTGACAGTGTGTGGATGATAAAGGTATACAATACTGATTACATTGTCTTTACATTTCTACTACTGCCTCCTCCGTATTCGACTGAAGAAGCCTACTGTGTAGCCGTAGCTCTCAATCGCTAGCGCACTCAGCTGACACTGAGGTCCGGAGGTCGAATCTTTGGTACGGCTGGAAAACATTAGGACGTGTTTTCTTAAGACACCTGCTGCTCCTGTTCACCCATCAGTATAAAATGGGTACCTGGGTGTGGGTCGCATCCTGGGACAAAACTAACCTAATTTGCCCGAAATGCCCTGAGCATAACAAGCGGCTTTCTATATAGTAATATGTCATTGATGTCAGCTTTGGTCTGTATACCTTGTACATGTACTCGTAGAAATAAAAATATTATTATTATTATTGCTGCAGTATTGCTGCATCTGCTAGAAAAATGACAGGATGGATAATGAGAACCTTCAAAACTAGGGAGGCCAAGCCCATGATGACACTCTTCAGGTCACTTGTTCTATCTAGGCTGGAATATTGCTGCACACTAACACCACCTTTCAAGGCAGGTGAAATTGCTGACCTAGAAAATGTACAGAGAACTTTCACGGCGCGCATAACGGAGATAAAACACCTCAATTACTGGGAGCGCTTGAGGTTCCTAAACCTGTATTCCCTGGAACGCAGGAGGGAGAGATACATGATTATATACACCTGGAAAATCCTAGAGGGACTAGTACCGAACTTGCACACGAAAATCACTCACTACGAAAGCAAAAGACTTGGCAGACGATGCAACATCCCCCCAATGAAAAGCAGGGGTGTCACTAGCACGTTAAGAGACCATACAATAAGTGTCAGGGGCCCGAGACTGTTCAACTGCCTCCCAGCACACATAAGGGGGATTACCAACAGATCCCTGGCAGTCTTCAAGCTGGCACTGGACAAGCACCTAAAGTCAGTTCCTGATCAGCCGGGCTGTGGCTCATACGTTGGTTTGGGTGCAGCCAGCAGCAACAGCCTGGTTGATCAGGGGCTGATCCACCAGGAGGCCTGGTCACAGACCGGGCCGCGGGGGCGTTGACCCCCGAAACTCTCTCCAGGTAAACTCTCCAGTATACACAGACTTTGCAAAAGCAGCCAGCAGCAACAGCCTGGTTGATCAGGCTCTGATCCACCAGGAGGCCTGGTCACAGACCGGGCCGCGGGGGCGTTGACCCCCGGAACTCTCTCCAGGTCTCTCCAGGTAATGGTGTAATAGCACAAAATGCGTGATAAAGGAATAACAGAACACAAAGAGTAATAGTAAACAGAGTAAAGTCCCAGGGAGCCACGGTAAAAAGCTCTGTTCCACAAGGCACAGTAATCGCTTCCATTCTATTCCTCATCCTCATTTCTAACACAGACAGAGATGAGATGTAGTCATAGCTCCGTGTCTTCCTTTGTGGATGACACCTGGATCACCATGACAGGACCTCCATCGAAGACACTACGAGACTTCAAGTGGACATCAACCAAATCTTCGAATGGGCCACTCAAAACAATGTAAAGTTCAACGAGGAGAAATTTCAACTACTCAGATATGGGAAACTTGAAGAAATTAAAAATGTATCAGGGTATACGACAAATTCTAACCATACAATAGAGCGGAAAAGTAATGTGAAAGACCTGGGAGTGATAATGTCTGAGGACCTCGCCTTCAAAGACCACAACAATGTATCTACCTCATCTGCTAGGAAAATGGTAGGATGGATAATGAGAACCTTCAAAACTAGGGATGCCAAGCCCATGATGATTCTCTTCAAATCACTTGTGTTCTCTAGGCTGGAATACTGTACACTAACGACCCCCTTCAAGGCTGGCAACATTGCAGACTTGGAGAGTGTACAGAGAACTTTCACGGCGCATATAAGCACGATAAGGCACCTAAATTACTGGGAACGGTTCAAGGTCCTTGATCTGTGTTCCCTGGAACGCAGGCGAGAGAGATACATGATAATATACACTTGGAAGGTTTTGGAGGGATTGGTACCAAACCTGCACACAAAAATCACTCCCTATGAAAGCAAAAGACTCGGCAGGAGGTGCAACATTACCCCGATGAAAAGCAGGGGCGCCACGAGTACACTGAGAGACAACACAATAAGTGTCCGGGGCCCAAGACTGTTCAGTTGCCTCCCAGCATACATAAGGGGGATTACCAATAGACCCCTGGCTGTCTTTAAGGCACTGGACAGGCACCTAAAGTCAGTACCTGACCATCCGGGCTGTGGTTCGTACGTCAGCTTGCGTGCGGCCAGTAGTAACAGCCTGGTTGATCAGACCCTGATCCACCGTGAGGCCTGGTCTCAGACCGAGTCACGGGGCGTTGACCTCCAGGTAAACTCCAGGTAAGATGGGAGGACCAGCCTGTGGGTCTCCCCTCGGCCGAGATTGAATCCGGGTGTATTCGGTTGTTAGCACAACGGGCTACAACTAAGCTACGAGGCTTCAACACTCCTTCCTCTCTACATTTGTCACTCTGCACTATCAGTCAGTAATGGCTTCTGACTAGAACAAGAACGTAAGAAAGGAGGAACACTGCAACAGGCCTACTAGCCCATACTTGGCAGGTTCTTCTCAATCCCATTAACCAAAATATCCTCCCAACCCATTTTCAATGCTACCCAAGGAATAATAAGCTTTGATAACCCTATCAATTCATATGTAAGTCCCACTCAAGTCCAGCCCCTCTCACTCATGTGTTATCTAATTGTCAACCACGCCGTGGTAATTAACAATCCGTGAATAACTGATTGAAGTATTGAGTAACGAGTAACCACTAGCGGGAGTGCCACGCTACGATAATTGGTAATGGACGTCCCTCATAACTTCGGGAAATCCTGCGTTATTTACGGCGGCGACAGTGATAGTTTTGAGTGTGTGAGAGACGCATGTTGCTGCTGCTGTTGCTGCTGCATGTTGCATACCTAGCACCAGGTAGGTTACTGTGGCTCTGAGGTGCTGACTGTACGTGTGAGATGCTGACTAGGTGTGAGGTGCTGACTGTACGTGTGAGATGCTGACTAGGTGTGAGATGCTGACTAGGTGTGAGGTGCTGACTGTAGGTGTGAGGTGCTGACTGTAGGTGTGAGGTGCTGACTGTAGGTGTGAGGTGCTGACTGTAGGTGTGAGGTGCTGACTGTAGGTGTGAGGTGGACTATACGTGCGAGGTGCTGTCTCCCAGAACAAAAGGAACATACACAAGACATCAATAATATACTAGTCGGATAACCTATAATTTAGAGAACACAATAAAGCAAATGAAGCACAGAGCCGAACAGTGACAAAGTGGATAATGAGAACCTTCAAGACAGGTCACACCAATAATGGCATTGTTTAAACCACTTGACTTTACACCTCTGGAATGTTGTTGTCTCCCAGTGTCTTTAAGACATTAGAGATAATTATCAGAGCTGGGAAGTCTCAGAACACTTCAGTTGTTCTTTCCAGAATGGATGAAAGAAATTGCTGATAATGTTAACATGGAAGATACTAGAGGGCCTGGACCCCAGTCCATACACTGCCAATAAAACTGGGGTGAGATATGGTAAAGAAAAAAGTGTAAAATGAACCTAGTGATAAAAGCAGAAGTGCCATAGGGACCATAAGAGAACACTATATCAACACCCATGGTTCAAAAAGTCTTCAACCTGCTACCAGCAAATATCAGAAACATTGACAGAAGAAGTGTCCCAGCAGAAACTAGACCATTGAGGTCCATATGGCCATAACAGCAATAGCCTGGATAAATAGGTAACCAATATGGCAGCGTCTGGCCGCTAAGGTAAAATAATATTTGATATTATTCACAGGCAAGTTAATGTGACCACTAAATTGTATTTGTGAGAGTCGAGACTCAGCTCCTGGCCCTGCCTCCAAGACTACTAGTATTGATATATATGAATGACTTGGAGAGCATGTAAATATATAGGGGAAGGAAGGCGGGGTAGGGGTTGTTCTCGAAAAGGTTGGAGGGAGGGGTAAAGGAGGTTTTGTGGGCGAGGGGCTTGGACTTCCAGCAAGCATGTGTGAGCGTGTTAGATAGGAGTGAATGGAGACGAATGGTTTATGGGACCTGACGAGCTGTTGGAGTGTGAACTGTTGTATCTGGGCATATCTGCAAAGACAGTGATTATGTGTGAGTGGGTGAAAGTGTTGAATGATGATGAAAGTATTTTCTTTTTAGTGGGAGATGGCCGACTTGTTAAAAAATATATATATGTATATATGGGCAACACTTGTTGAGTACAATAAGATGTCTGAACTTAGTTTGAGCATCCTGTGATAGGTATCCTTCCGGTAACATCCTACAGGGTGGCAGGATGAGACTATGACAACACTGTCAGTCAGGTGGTGTTACGACAGGCTACAAGGCTGAAACGAATATAATGTGTTCACAGGAAGCATTAATTTTTTTTCTAGTGGTGCAGCACCTGGGGAATAGGAGATGAGGAATACAGACAAGTACAACCAGAGAGTACAGAATCCTCTCACAATACAGTACATTACAGTCTCACTTCATGAGTGAATCAAGTACAAAAAATAATTCAAATTATAATGAGGAAGGGGAATGTAGCTTCAGTTTCTTGTAATTAAAGTTTTTCGACAGCATCACAGCACCATTGAAGGGTTTAAATAGTTGCTAGCTCATCTATTTGATAAATAAAATGTGTATTTTTATATTCACACACACAAAAAAAGTTAAAATGCAAAATGGTAAAACATTATACAGTGGAACCTTGGATTTTGTACTTAATCTGTTCCAGAAGGTCGGTCTAAATCTGAAACGTACGAAAACCGAAGTAATATTTCCCATAAGAAATAATGTAAATCCAATTAATCTGCTCCAGACACCCAAAAATATTCACAAAAAATAAATTTTTTAAAGAATAACTATAGTTTTACATTCAGAAAACAATCAGAAATAAATATAAAGCACTAATTTTAATGATTAATGAACATTACATACCTTTATTGAAGACTCTTGTTGGCATATTGAAGAAGGCAAGGAGGAAAGGGAGAGTTGAGGTTATTGTTTGGAAGGGGAATCCCCCTGCATAAGGACTTCAGGTATCAAAGCCCTCTCTGGGCTTAATACCCTTCTTTGTCTTTTACTGGCACTGGACCCCTGTCACACTAAAAATCTGTCCAGAGAGCTCTGTTTCTGGCATCTCTCTAAGATTTGCCTAAAATCAGATAAGGTAGTGTTACTGAACATGTTGCAGATACGGCTTGTATCAGCTTGGTCAGGGTGATATTTTTCCACAAAACTTTGCACCTCATTCCACTTTGCACAGATGTCCTTAATCACTGAAGAGGGCACATTCTCCTCTCTCTCTTCCTCCTCCTCTGAAGCAATTTCCAGTCTGTTGCTGTTCCAGTTGAAGGTCTTGCAGCTCTTCAGTGGTTAGCTCTTCCCTGTGGTCCTCCACCAACTCTTCCACATCCTGGCCACTTACATCCAACCCCATGGACTTCCCCAAAGACACAATACATTCCGCAACAGGCATAGGGTCAACAGGGTCAGCCTCAAACCCTTCGAAATACATCCATACATCCTGGCAGGCTCGGCTGAACGTATGCCAATTTCATATTTTTCTACAATCTCTTTCTTGAATTCTATCATGTTTTTCACTTTCTTTACCAAAGGGCTGGCACTAGGAACTTTCTTTGGGCCCATGGTGGCTTATTTCACAGTCACAATCAATAAACAAGCACAAAAAAAGCGAAATGTTTGAATGAATGCTCTCTCAACCAGTGACAGAGCCAGACTGAGGCGGCATCCCGGCGGGTAGACACGTCTGATATGTACTATTCCCGGGACAAGGTACGAAATCTGGAGCAAAATTTTGCCCCAAAAAAGTGTTCTAAATCTGAAACGTCCGATATCTGGTGTATGCCAAATCAGGGGTTCCACTGTATAGAGATTTAAGTATTTTAATTGATCCTTGATGAAGTAATTTGCATTTTTCTTTCACAGTTTCTTTTTGACTTCTCTAAAATGTGGGAATTTCATGCATTCTTTGATATACAGTATGTCATTTAGCATTCTGTTCTGTGTACTTTAATGGTCCAGTCTATTATGTCTGTAGTACACATTCTATTATTTATGTACTTTAGTGTTCCAGTCTGTTGTTCATGTATAGTAGCTCAGTGTGTGCCACAATCTATGTATTGGCCTTGTCTCTGTTCACTAACTGTACATAAAATGCCCCTCAGGGGTGCTTCCTTGATGCTGGTGAGGGGCTCTTGATCTAGGGAATTGGATCTGTTCTCCAGTTCCTTGAATTGAGCCTGATTGCCTTCCCTCCCCCCCAGGTTCTGTATAACCCCTGTGGATTTAGCACTCCCCCATGATGATAATAATAGTGTACATAAAACAACTAACATCCAAGAAGTGGTAAAGTGGAAACTGACATAAAAAAATTCATATACAGTGGACCCCCCGAATTTCATCATCCCTTTTCTGTATGTAAAACTATAGTTATTCTCTATAAAATGTGTTTTTTGTTAATATTTTTGGGTGTCTGGGATGGATTAATTGGATTTACATTATGTCTTATGGGAAATATTAACAAAAAATGCATTTTATAGAGAATAACTGTAGTTTTACATACAGAAAAGGGATGATAAAATTCGAGGGTCCGCTGCATGTTACACTAAACTCACAATGGTTATTGAGTATCACTAGCAGAAGTGAAAAATTGAGTAGAAGAGGTGATGTTGAGGGAAGGCCTGTAGCAGGAGGCAAAGTTACAGTTTATGTAGCAGGAGGCAAAGTTACAGTTTATGTAGCAGGAGGCAAAGTTACAGTTTATGTAGCAGGAGGCAAAGTTACAGTTTATGTAGCAGGAGGCAAAGTTACAGTTTATGTAGCAGGAGGCAAAGTTACAGTTTATGTAGCAGGAGGCAAAGTTACAGTTTATGTAGCAGGAGGCAAAGTTACAGTTTATGTAGCAGGAGGCAAAGTTACAGTTTATGTAGCAGGAGGCAAAGTTACAGTTTATGTAGCAGGAGGCAAAGTTACAGTTTATGTAGCAGGAGGCAAAGTTACAGTTTATGTAGCAGGAGGCAAAGTTACAGTTTATGTAGCAGGAGGCAAAGTTACAGTTTATGTAGCAGGAGGCAAAGTTACAGTTTATGTAGCAGGAGGCAAAGTTACAGTTTATGTAGCAGGAGGCAAAGTTACAGTTTATGTAGCAGGAGGCAAAGTTACAGTTTATGTAGCAGGAGGCAAAGTTACAGTTTATGTAGCAGGAGGCTAAGTTACAGTTTATGTAGCAGGAAGCTAAGTTACAGTTTATGTAGCAGGAGGCAAAGTTACAGTTTATATAGCAGGAAGCTAAGTTACAGTTTATGTCATCTATGAAATCATATAGCAAATATACAATATATAAGCATGACATGAATAAAACACATGTACAACACTTGCAGATCTTTATTGCAGAAATACTTTGGTTACATGGCAGACTTCTTAAGTCTAATGCAGGTGAACATACAACTGAAGACCATAGAAGTAGTTTCGATATCGTCAGTCTGTCAGTCTTGGTAGGAGGTGGTCAGTCCCTCAGCCTAAAGCATAGGCATGCCTCCTTTACCTATTTATGCTTACTAAGGGTTCAAATCCCACCCGTTCTGTGATTTGTGTGCAGTCATGTTATTGCAATTTTGCGAGTCATAATTTACTGCATGTTTTTACTGTACTGTATTTCAGGTTAAATGGAGGCACTGCTTTGAGGAGACATCTGCAGACAGCTGTGCCGCCCCTTGCTCCATCGTCAAGAGTGACAGCTCTGCCCAAGCGCCGCCTTTCACCTACAGATCTACCTCCAGTGACATTTACCACCACTGCAGCTGTTTACAGTTCTTCTAATGTTAACAGCATGACTGTTCAAGGCACTGTAAATACCACTGTGCCAACTTCATATGGATCTGCACACAACAAATCTGGAACATTATTTAGTAAAACCAGCAGTACATGTGACTCTACATACTCTAATAAAGCAACTCTCTACAGTAGCACCAATTGTACCAAGGCAACGCTTTATGCCGTCGACAGTGATAGTTTAGAAGCATTTTACGACAGTGTTGCTACTTCAAACTTTTACGGAAGTGCAAAGAGCAATAATACCCAGCAGAATAATGATGCCATAACTCCATCCAGCTACAGTGGTTCAAAAGCTTTGGCATCCATCCAACATCCAGCATTATCAGATGAAACCTCTAAATCGTCTGTTGTTGCACCAACACTAACGCGTGTAAGCCAGCCACAACAAACAGTAACATATCTGGCACCAGCCCAAGTCAGTAACTCCAGTCCAACTGTATCTCTGGGTAAGTACTCAGAGTTTAATCTATCACTTCTTAAGCCTTCTTTTATTGCACTAACCCTTTTAGGGTTCAAGGCCAAAATTGGAAGGGGTGCCCCAGTGTCCAAGAAATTTTGAAAAAAAAAAAAAAAAAAAAAAATTCTTACAGAATTAAAGAGTATATTTTTGTGAAGGTAATAAAACAACAAAAAAATTTTCTGATCAGTACTTACCGAGATACAGAGGCGGGAAGTTGACCCAAAATGACCGGGTGGCGGCAGCAACATCGGCGATTGCTGCAAACTCGCATTTCTTTATTTTACATTTTTTATAATTTTTTCTTTTCTTTTCTAATTTTTTTCTTTTCCTAGTAACATTTGTGGCCTGTGAGACCAATACTGTATATAATGTATATATATAAACTCACTCTATTGAACACAGTAACTGCACTAAAGTTATTATTATAATATTGTTTACCACTTTTGTTTATTACAATAAACATGCACAAATCTTGTATAATACTAACGTTCTATCATATATTTACATATGTACAATTACTGGACATGTTTTTAGAACTGCTGCAGCTTATGGAACTCCTTGAAACAAGGCACCATGCACAAAGGTACCTTACATTCCTCACACATAAACCGAGTGTTGTTGCGTCTTTGTTGCCATCGTTTTGTTTGTGCACAGACAACACATCTCTTCTGAGCAAATTTCTTCTTAGTTGCAGGAAGCTGTATTATGAAGTGATCACCTTCCCTCCTCAAACGCTTTGGTATATCCTGAGGAGTTCGAGGACAGTTTTGTATAGTAGGTGTTATTACTTGGTATTTCATTATGAGTTGTCTGACAACAGACAAACAAAATTCACCATACGGTGGTCTGTTGCCAGTCTTCACTTGGTACATATTATATGCATTGAGCATTGAAATGTCCATGAGATGGAAGAAAAGTTTCATGTACCACTTGTAACTCTTACGAACACAATCAACAAAGCCAATCTGCATGTCACATTTGTCAACCAAGTGCATGTTTTGTGTATAATCAATCACTGTCAGTGGTTTTCGAATATGTTCATTAGTCACTCGATCAACTTTGCCACTGTCTTGCATTTCGTTACAGTGAATGGTTGTCAACAATGTGACATCTCGTTTGTCATGCCACCGTAATGCCATGATGTCATTGGCAGTAAACACCTGCACCTCTTCACCACGAGTGCCTGCGTTGATTATTATTATTATAATCAAGGGGGAAACGCTAAACCCGGAGGATTATACAGCGCCTGGGGGGGGGATTTGGAAGGCATTCAGGCTTAATTCGGGGAACTGGAGCACAGATCCAATTCCCTAAATCAAGAGCCCCTCACCAACATCAAGGAACCTTCCTTGAGGGGTGCCTGCGTTGAACCTGGGCATATGTTACGATTATAAGGCACTGTGCCACACACATCTGTCATGTTCACTCACAAGAAATCACTGAGTAAAGGGCTTGTGTACCAGTTATCAGTATATAATGTATGCCCTTTACCAAGATAAGGTGCCATCATGCTTCTCACTATGTCACCTGAGATACCCAATAACATCCGGTATCTTTCAATGTTTTACTTCCCGTGTATACAACAATATCCAATACCAGGCCACTGTCACAGTCACAGAGTACAAACAGTTTTATACCAAAGCATTTCCTCTTGTTCAGTATATACTGTTTGAATGATAGTCTACCTTTGAACAAAAAGACTCGTCAAGTACAAGATTCTTGAATGGATAAAAGTACACGTTGAACTTTTGTTTCAGATACATAAAAACATTTCAAATCTTGTATAACCTGTCACTTCTGTCAGGCCTGGTTTTGTCAGAGAAGTGCAACATATGTAACAGTAAGATAAACCTGTTCACTGGGATGATTTCACTGAAGACCGGGGTACAAATTAGCCGATCTGTAGACCAGTATGATTTTATATTATGCTTATAGACATGAGGCATAAGCATTATTGTTGCAAAAAGCAAATGCATTTCTGCAACAGTTGTCTCTTTTCACCAGTGTAGTCTTGACTGTGATGATATCATCGTATTTGCCATGGTGTACTCAAAATACTTGTTGCTTTCCCTGACAATAGTTTCCATCAATGGCTGGTCAAAGAATAGTTCAAAAAATTCCAGTTCATTGGCAGTGTTTCCAAGGGGACAGGTAGGTAGAATTCCACTGTGAGAGTCATCAAAGTGGTGAGGCTTGGGAACAAAATTGGGATTTTGCTGCCAATCCCAGATACAGTTTGCTGGTGGATACTGGACATCATAAGCTGGTTGTGCTGGTAGTTGTGGTTGTGGTGGGCTGGTGGCTGACGCTCCGCTTTGTCCTTGAACTGAGGAGTCAGAAGCGTGGGTCCCAGCCTGGGCTGGTGAGTCATGCATGGCCGTGGCACTACCATCACCACCAATACCACTACCTACCGATGCCTGTGGTCTGTCCATGCCAAGTGTAGCCACATCATCCTCACTTTCACTGTCTATTCCTGGTGTAAGGCCACAGGATGTACTCCGGGATGTACTCCGTCCTCTGGGCACTGCATAGGGAAAACTACCCTAGCGCATGCGGCGGCGTATATACCGACGCTTCACTGGTGAATATGTTTCCTCACTATCACTACTCAAATGATCGTCAAGAGCAATAAAATCACAATCCACGTCACTATCATCATTACTGAAGTCAGAGGCCTGGCCACGCGAAAATAACAGTTTTCTCTTGCAATGAGGTACAACTGAATGTGACTGAGGAGTGCCCACACCAGAGGTAGAAGGTTGAGGATCGTCAGGGTTTTCTGCACTACTATCAATATCCTGGTCATTCCTTTTGGTCACTAACTGATCAAAGCCAAAGAATTCGTCTTCATTTCCACTTCCATCATAGTCAGAACTATTAGATAGGAAGAGGAGAGTCCCAATTTTCCTTGGAGTGAGAGCTGCCTTGCGACGAGGCATGGTGAACAAGGGTAACTGAGCCAGCGTTCCCACAATGCTATGCAGGCGCCTAGAATTTTTGTTTATAGCGCACACACACCACGCAGACCCGTTCTCTCATGTGTAGGCCTACCAGCCTTTTCGTGCTAAATTTGACGCCGCTAGAATTTTAGCGTAGATCTACAGTTTGGACCCTGAACGTAAAGCCGTAGACCTGCGGCACGAACCCTGAAAGGGTTAAAGAATAAATTGCATAATTTAGTTTATTCTTGTACAGTATATCGCTGACATTTTTTGCACAATATAATATTGATATAAGGGACTTTCTCTTTTTTTTTTTTTTGTATTCCGAGTACTGTATTTTTTTTTTTTTCAACAAGTCGGCCGTCTCCCACCGAGGCAGGGTGACCCAAAAAAGAAAGAAAATCCCCAAAAAGAAAATACTTTCATCATCATTCAACACTTTCACCACACTCACACATTATCACTGCTTTTGCAGAGGTGCTCAGAATGCAACAGTTTAGAAGCATATACGTATAAAGATACACAACATATCCCTCCAAACTGCCACTATCCCAAACTCCTCCTTTAAAGTGCAGGCATTGTAAATAAATATACTGTATATATTTATAATACTATCACAAGTAAATTGTGTAATAATGCTAGTATTTCATGTAAGAAAAACTTCATTTCAACTAAAAATATTTTTTGCACTGCTTAATTATGAACATTTTGGGAGAGTTCCATCACCTTCATGATGATTGTAATGGAATTTTTTACTGAAATGTTAAGTACAGTATAGTATGTAATGCTATCAATATTGAAGAAGAAATTAAGTTCTTTAACTCCTTTGAAGTATACTTCTGCAAAACCTTAAGTCTGTGTGTAATGCAAATATTGTTATATATTTTTGTATGATGGAAAATGATTGTAATAGATTTTACATCCAACAAAGTTGATGCCAACTTTTGATAATTTCAGTATCCTTAAGTTGTAATATGCTCATTTATGTCTGAAATGTTGATGAAACACTGTTTCTTCATACACTCTAAATACAGTACAAGTTGATCTAATAAATTTTTTATAACCTGCAGGTACAGCGCAATATTCTTCTTCAAGCAACGTTGATTCTCATCCTGCAAGTTCATCTGCCTCGCCTGTTCCCCAACAGTTCTCTCACAAGCATACTCTTCTCCGTCGTGCTTTCCGTGAAATGTTGAAAAGTGATAATGAAATGCCCCCAGAGCTGGCCCATAAAGACAAAAATATTTTTACCTTTGACCATGTATCAAGTTTACCTACAACAACAGATAACGTATCAAAACTTAGAGAAGCATTAGCTGGTTCCACCTCTGCCCTTACAACTTCAAGTAAGTTCATCACGTATAATGATGATACATCTGAGAGTAATACATTAAAAGTTGATAAAACAGAGCCTCCTGAGCATGAAACAGAATCAGCAGACTCCACAGAATTTAGAATAAAAACAGCAGACGAGCATAAAAAACATAAGAGCGAAGAAAATGATGTCAAAGACAAACCTGTGTCAGAAGAGTTGCCTGAAACTGTACAAAATAAAGTTTTGGAGTGTGTAACTGATGCTGGTGGTAACTTTGATGTCCAGGCTCTGAAAGGTGAAACCAAATCAGGTGATAATCAGGCAAAAGAAGAAGATAGTGAAATGCAGTCATCTCTGCTGCTCACAGTTCTCTATAAAGAGTTATTGAGAACACGACAAGAGGTTGAAAAGTTGAGAAAAGTACAGGAACTAATGCTAACAGAGAAGGGAGAGAAGAAAGAAGACACAGAAGAAAAACTAAAGGCAGAAAATATTTTGAGTGAAGAAATAATGTGTGAGAAGAGAAAATTTTCAGAAAACACAAGTAACTGTGATACATTAATGGAAAATAAAGAATTAAGTTCTCAGCCTGAAATAAAAAAATCTAAAATTACTATTCGAAATGACCTGCTGTTAAACAATGCGACTACCATACAAGCGAGTCCACCAAAGGCATCGGATATTTCAGGTCCGACAGAAAACAGTCCACTGGTAGAAAGAATAAGTTCTCAAGTATTACCTACGGCTAATGTGCCCCTTGCTAGTCCAGTTTCATCTGAACATAATTCTGAATTATCTGTAATTAGTTATGTAAATTCTTCACCTCAGCCTAGTTATGCATTATCACAAACAAGCCCTGGGATATCTAGCACTACTAGCCCAGGATTATCAAGGACCAGTCCAGGAGTATTGAGAAGTCCCATGCTACCAATGGTGAGTCCTGGCTTACCAATGGTGAGTCCTGGCTTACCAATGGTGAGTCCTGGCTTACCAATGACAAGTCCTGGCTTACCGATGATGAGTCCTGGCTTACCAATGAGTACTGGGTTACCAAGAACGAGTCCTGGGCTCCCAAGGACAAGTCCTGGGGTACCAAGAGTGAGCCCTAGCTTACCCAGGGCTAGTCCTGGTTTACCCAGGACTAGTCCTGGCTTACCAAGGACTAGTCCTGGCATACCAAGGACTAGTCCTGGCATACCTAGAACTAGTCCTAGCTTACCAAGGACTAGCCCTGGGGCACTCAGGACAAGTCCGGCAATATCACAGTCTAATGTGATTATTTCAGGCACTAGTCCACTAATGTTACATAATTCTCACAATATTTCACAGACTAGTCCTGTTATGCTCACTAGCCCCACATACTCAGCGAGTGGCTCTCCTGTACAACACATGAACACTGCTTTGCAAAGATTTTCGACAGTGCAGCCTAACAGTACAGGATTAAGTAAGCCTAGATCCTCAGTAACAAATGCAAGTGCTGTAATGTCAGTAACTAGTCCTAGTATTTCCAGGACAAGTCCTGTAATATGTAGAATGAGTCCGGCAGCAGTGCGGGCAAATCCAGCAGTTTCTAGGTCGAGTCCTGTAATATCACGAGCAAATTCTGCATCAAATGCTCTGGAAAATAATTTGGATAAACCTTTAATGGGAATGAGCCCTAACAGGTTACGTACTGTATTTGGAATATCAAACTCTGAGGTGGAGGTGATGCCTGTTTCTGGAGGAGGAAAGCTTCCACTTTGTGAACCTTATCCTCAGACATTCCTAAGGCTGGCTGAGGAACAGCAGCAGCAGCAGCTGCCACCACCACCACAAGAACCTTCTCTTCTGTTGAGTGCTGTCAAGGGGCTAAGAAGAGAAAACTCATCCTCAGATGTTGAAGTTCTGTCAACTCATGCACCTTCGCATTTCCATCATTCCCAGGCGTCTCACGAAAATTCCAGGAGAATTCGGAGGCCTCAGTCGTATGAAAGTGAAATTAAGCAAAATACCTTCGTCACCTCTGACCAGACAGATTTACCATCAGTTCAAAAACAACCTCCACCACTGAAGCCAGCAACTTCACTTGTCAGAAGGCATTCAGACAACCTTGACATTCATCAAGTCAACCCAATGATGCATCGCCTCATGTATCCCAACACAAATCCTGCCAGTTCTATTCATTCTACAAACTCATCTGCAGAGCAACAAAAATCTACATTATATTCATTTGCTCAGCCACAGTGCAGTCCTACACAGTACCCATCAGCTGCTCAGACAGGTCGAAGACACAGTGATAGCAGCTGCACTGAAAGATCTCGAGATTATCAGCAGGCGGTTGCAATGGGTATGCAGCAGCATCCTTATCCACAGCACATGAATCCTAATGCACCTATGATGAGAAGTCTTGGGCCAGATAAAGCCACCATCTTTCCCATACCTGCCCCTATGTCAACAGTTATTCGTCCGTATAAACCACCCACACCACCTACATCCACTCGCATGATTTTAGAGCAGTATCAGAATGAAAATTTTTATAGATCAAACATGCCATTTTTTGAGAGATTAAGAGAGAACATTCAGCAGTCATATGATACTGGTGTTAGTACTTCAGACAGAGGAGGACACTCAGGTCAAAAGAGGCCACAACCAACAATTACTGAGAACCCTCTCCAGCCACAAACTTTTGCACCGAGGGTTCTTGTCCGTGAGTCCATTCCAGAAACACCATCCCATATACCACATCCAACATTTTCTGCCCCACATTATCCTAATGCTAGCCAACACATGTCAGGTGTTTTACCTAGTCATCATGGCCACTTCTCAAATAATATGCATTCAAATTCTACCATTCATCATATGCCTTCGAATGGACTTCATCCTGGTAATCATCAAGTTCCTTCATCTATCATTGCCAATAACAGCACTAGACGTAGTAATAACAGTGGAAGTGGTACTGGGGAGAAGAAGCAGTGTCTCAACTGCCCACAGCCAGCCCGATTTCTGTGTTCAGGATGCAAGAAAGCTTGGTACTGTTCAGAAAAATGTCAGGTAAGGTTACACTGTGTTATTTTGTATATCTTTCCTTTCTTACAAACTGTTAAATGAATGATAGTAAACCTTTTTAAACCCTGTTGATAGTGTGCATAGTATGCTACAATGATTAAGTATTGATATACATGTACTTTACCTGATGCAAAATAAGAATGATTAAAGTAGCTAGCTTGTAATAGCAATTTTTGGTGATTTTATATGTTGAGATAAATGAGCATCAATCTCCACCAGCTGTAATGGAACCCCTAACATTTAATGTAAATGTGTTCTACTCCAATTGATCAACATTGATTTTTTTTATTTCAGCGTAACCACTGGGGTGTCCATAACACAGCCTGTGTTCCATGAATGTGTGAGGCCTCTTCCTGTATTATATAGCCAAGTGAAGGTTGTTGATGAATATCCCATTTAATAGTAAGATATAATCACCACAGTCCTTTTGAAAGTATGTGACTGACCACACATTTCCTAATACTGCGTGACCTGACTCTGTTTACATGTGAGATGCATGAATTGACAAAATTAATACGGGTTTATGTATCTTGCTGTAAAGGAGCCTAATAGTCATGATATATAATAAAGTCACTAACAATTACTATATGAATAAGTGCAACTTAAAAACATAAAAAGCTTTAGCAAACAAATTTGAAAAAGACTGGGAGCTTCCAGAGAAAAATGTAGCTGAAGTAATTAAAGACTTCCTGATAATTTACATTAATATGCATTGAACATTGGATTTAAAAATATCATAAAATTAGAATGAAGTACAATACTATATATAGTACTTACATGAAGTAATGTGTGCAGATTTATTTTTGATAAATTAGACACATGTGCAACTCTTGGGTATCTTTATTGAGGAAACGTTTTGCCACACAGTGGCTTCATCAGTCCATACAAAGGAGAATCTTGAAGAACAGGAGGAGAATGAGGTAATCAGTCCCTCAACCTTGAGTCGATGTGGTCAGTCCATCAATCGGTTCTCTGAACCATTCATCTACAAACCTGTCAGACACTGCAACTTCTTGGGATCTTAATACTTGGGAATTCTTCGCTTGCCTAATTCTTGGGCACGACCTACTTCAACATTGAACAAATGTTACACGACCTATGACTGCTGCACCTCTCCTGCCAACGGTTTATAAGCTCCTTCTCAGCACGTATGCCGTATTCTATTCAAGATTGATGGACTGACCACATCGACTCAAGGTTGAGGGACTGATTACCTCATTCTCCTCCTGTTCTTCAAGATTCTCCTTTGTTTGGACTGATGAAGCCACTGTGTGGCAAAACGTTTCCTCAATAAAGATACCCAAGAGTTGCACATGTGTCTAATTTATCAACATGTCGGTTCTCTGAACCATTCATCTACAGATTTATTTTTATTTAAAAGGTTTTGTTTAAAATTTGAAAAGTAATGGAATCTTTTAAAAATAATTTGCAAATAAAACAGGTTTCATTTTATATTATACATACATATAGAGTCCCAACATAAGTTGTTCATGAGTTCCTGAAAATTGTTCACAAGTTGTGTTCAGAACTTGGAACCTATTTTCCCACACACATTAAAATTGGATGAGCGTTCCTGAGCCGTATATAATTTATTTATTTTTAACTAAGAGCATTTACCCAATATTATACATTCATTGCTGTTCCTTTTCACTTACAAATATAGTATTAAATATTATTAAATTAATATATACATGTAAATTAAACAGAAGAGAGCTACAATAGAGTATAGAGTACAATAGAGAGGTGTAGAGGCAGGCAGGTAGCAGCTGAACTGTCACTCTTGTATACTCACCATCTCCTTCACTCCCACCTTCTCTCACATTGTATCTAACACAATATTCTTTACACAAGCTCCCTACTTCCTCACTGCTTTTCAGAGGGATATCTGAATTGTGATGCCTGCAAGATGGCTATTGAATAATTGATGGTTAATATGTTTTAATTGTTTGTCATACTTCCTTGGTAGATGGTTAATGCAGCTAAAAAAAATTACATGCAGCATACACTATGTATGTCTTCTTCTTTCAACGCACCAGTTGTATCCCACCGAGGCGGGGTGGCCCAAAAGGAAAAACAAAAGTTTCTCCTTTTACATTTAGTAATATATACAGGAGAAGGGGTTACTAGCCCCTTGCTCCTGTCATTTTAGTCGCCTTTTGCAACACGCATGGCTTACGGAGGAAGAATTCTGTTCCATTTCCCCATGGAGGTAAGAGGAAATAAACAAGAACAAGAACTAGAAAGAAAATAGAAGAAAACCCAGAGAGTTGTGTAAATATATGCTTGTACATTATGTGTAGTGTAAACTAAGTGTAAGTAGAAGTAGCAAGATATACTTGAAATCTTGCATGTGTATGAGACAGAAAAAAAAGACACCAGCAATCCTACCATCGTGTAAAACAATTACAGGCTTCTGTTTTACACTCACTTGGCAGGACGGTACTACCTCTCTGGGCGGTTGCTGTCTACCAACCTACTACCTAGGACTTTGTATGTATATGCATTAAATATACATGCATACATACATACATACCTTGGTGGAAGACAATTGGTATAAAAATAAATAAACAAACAAACACACATATACACACACACTCAAAGGCGGTGGGACCAGACAACATCTCTCCATGGGTCCTTAAAGAGGGAGCAGAGATATTGTGTGAGCCATTAACAAAGATCTTCAACACATCACTTGAAACTGGGCAACTCCCTGAGGTATGGAAAATGGCAAATGTAGTCCCAATTTTTAAAAAGGGAGACAGACATGAGGCACTAAACTACAGACCTGTATCACTAACGTGTATAGTATGCAAGGTCATGGAGAAGATCATCAGGAGGAGAGTGGTGGGGCACCTGGAAAGAAACAAGTGTATAATTGACAACCAGCACGGTTTCAGGGAAGGAAAATCCTGTGTCACAAACCTACTAGAGTTTTATGACAAGGTGACAGAAGTAAGACAAGAGAGAGAGGGGTGGATCGACTGCATATTTTTGGACTGCAAGAAGGCCTTCGACACAGTTCCTCACAAGAGGTTACTGCAAAAGCTAGAGGATCAGGCACACATAACAGGAAAGGCACTGCAATGGATCAGAGAATACCTGTCAGGGAGGCAACAACGAGTCATGGTACGCGACGAGGTGTCAGAGTGGGCGCCTGTGACAAGCGGGGTTCCACAGGGGTCAGTCCTAGGACCTGTGCTGTTCTTGGTATATGTGAACGACATAACTGAAGGGATAGACTCAGAAGTGTCCTTGTTTGCAGATGATGCGAAGTTAATGAGAAGAATCAAATCGGATGAGGATCAGGCAGGACTACAAAGAGACCTGGACAGGCTACAAGCCTGGTCCAGCAACTGGCTCCTTGAATTTAACCCTGCCAAATGCAAAGTCATGAAGATTGGGGAAGGGCAAAGAAGACCGCAGACACAATATAGTTTAGATGGCCAAAGACTGCAAACCTCACTCAAGGAAAAAGACCTGGGGGTGAGTATAACACCGAGCATATCTCCCGAGGCGCACATCAATCAGATAACTGCTGCAGCATACGGGCGCCTGGCAAACCTACGGATAGCATTCCGATACCTCAGTAAGGATTCGTTTAAGACTCTGTATACCATTTATGTCAGGCCCATATTGGAGTATGCAGCACCAGTTTGGAATCCACACCTAGTCAAGCACGTCAAGAAATTAGAGAAAGTGCAAAGGTTTGCAACAAGACTAGTCCCAGAGCTACGGGGATTGTCCTACGAAGAAAGGTTGAGGGAAATCGGCCTGACGACACTGGAGGACAGGAGGGTCAGGGGAGACATGATAACGACATATAAAATACTGCGCGGAATTGACAAGGTGGACAAAGACGGGATGTTCCAGAGAAGGGACACAGACACAAGAGGTCACAATTGGAAGTTGAAGACTCAGATGAATCAAAGGGATGTTAGGAAGTATTTCTTCAGTCATAGAGTAGTCAGGCCGTGGAATAGCCTAGAAAGTGACGTAGTGGAGGCGGGAACCATACATAGTTTTAAGGCGAGGTATGATAGAGCTCATGGAGCAGGGAGAGAGAGGACCTAGTAGCAATCAGCGAAGAGGCGGGGCCAGGAGCTGTGACTCGACCCCTGCAACCACAAATAGGTGAGTACAAATAGGTGAGTACACTAATATACACACTTTTTTTCTCATTGATCATCTCAAACCAAGAAAAGGCAACCCAAAAAATGGAAACACATTCACTGTTAATCATTCAAAAGCTGCTTGTCAGAAATGTGCAGATGGTCAAATTTCAGATAACCCTCTAAACAGCAAGTTCTCCCACCCCTCCTTCAGTGTAGGCACTGTCAAACCTTAAGAGCCACTTATTTCCACTCACTCTAATCTACAGTGCTCACATTATTGCTGGATGCTCAAGCCTCTATCAATACCTTTTTCACATTCCCTCACTCCAAGTCTTCCTGGGATAACCCCTACACCTTCCCTCCAGTGCCTGCACTCTGGAGGGGGGTCTACCTATCTGTGGCCAGGTTCATGACCAGTCAGAGGGTAATCTGATTGTGATGTCAGCATACATCTGGAAAAATGGTGATTGATTTTTTTTTTTGTCACCCTGCCTTGTCAGGGACAGCCATATTACTTTTTAACACCAGCCATCTCCCACCGAGATAGGGTGACCCGAAAAAGAAGAAACCACTTTCAATATCACTGTCTTGCCAGAGGCGTGCTGCTACTACAGTTCAAAACTGCAAATATTCCCATCTCTGAATCACGAAATCGTAATGACACGATTGCAAACAAACCATACCACGGGTGGAGTTTGAACCCGCGGTCAGAGAGTCTCAAAACTTCAGACCGTCGCATTAGCTACTGGTCCAGCTAGCTTCAATAAGTTGGACGAATCTTATTGAAGCTAGCTGGCCCAGTGGCTAACACAACGGTCTGGAGTTTTGAGACTCTCTGACCACAGGTTCAAACCCCACCCGTGGTATGGTTTATTCCCATCTCTCCTTCAGAGTACAGGCACTGTATGTCCCACCTCCAGGACTCAAGTCTGGCTTGCCAGTTTTCCTGAATGCCTTCATAAATGTTAGCAAGCTAACACTCCAACAGCATGTCAAACCATAAAGACGACTTGCCTCCACTCACTCCTATCTAACCAGCTCACACATGATTGCTGGATGTCCAAGCATGCATTTGTACACATGTATATGTATGTATGTGTAAAAAGAAAACTGTGCTCTATAACCAGATCAGTCCAATCAAATTTTGTTAATTAATATTTCTCACATTTTTGCTCTTAAGAATTGATAATCATGTGAATAAAGAGTGTATGTGTGTGTGTGTGTGTGTGTGTGTGTGTGTGTGTGTGTGTGTGTGTGTGTGTGTGTGTGTGTGTGTGTGTGTGTGTGTGTGTGTGTGTGCGCGCGCGTGCAAGTATCTGGCTTAGAAACCTATCCCAACCTTGCAAAAATTGGTGTAAAATACAGGAGTTGAATCCTGTCCAACTTATCTAAGGTCAGCTTAAATTTAGTTAGTATTATGTATTATAAATTAATGAAATTGATCAACTTTGTGAGGTGCTGATTGTCACTGTTATACAACCTAACTCACAGAATCATAACACGATTGCAAACAAACCACAGGACGAATGGTGGTTGAACCCATGGAGAGCGAGTTGTACAACTCCAGTGGTTTATGCACTCACCTGGAGTTTTACGACTCACTCACCATGGGTTCAATTATTATTATAATCAAAACCAAGTGCTAAACTCACAAGGGTCATACAGCACTGTCCATGGGTTCAGATCCCATTCGTACCATGGTTTGTTATACAACTTGTTTGTGATGTACTGAGTGTCACTGTTATAATACTTGTTTGTTAAAATGTCTAACTCCTATACAAGCCAAGCTTGCAACTTTGGGCTACAATGCACACCATATACACAGAATATGTAAAAGAGTATATGGTAAAAAATGGCATGTGATAGATGGGTTGGAAAATGGCAAACATTAGGACATTTTATTGTAAATATTTCATTCTGGGAACCTTGGTCACTCCAAGGTTCCCAGAACCAAAACATGTACTATAAGATATCGTAGTGTTTGCTGTTTGTGACCATTTCCAACAAAAAGCTTATGTATATAAAGAAGAATATTTGTTAAACAACAATATGATAGGATAGTAACCTGACAAGGCAGTTGTACAGTCAGTGACCCACTTCAGAATTTTGGATTTATTGATAAAGCCAGGAACGGTCTTTTTTTACACTGTATATGGTATTTTTTTTGGCATTGCATCCCTTCATGCTAGTAAAGGACTTGATCCTAGGAATTGAGGATACACTTACTTGCCTTGGATCGAACCTGATTGCCTCCCATTCCCTGGGCACTATGTGACCCCTATGGGTTCAGCGCTTTCCCATTGAATTTAATAATTTGGCATTACACTGCGTGAGCATATTTTGAATTCTTGCCATAATTTTCCCACCACTGACTCAAGGGTGCCATAATTTTAAGATTATTTTTATACATAATAATTGTACTATTTATTTTGTTTTGTTATTAAAGATGTGTAGGTCTGAAAGACTGGCAGACAACACCCAAACTTAATTACACATATCATAGTGCAGTATATAATGATATTTTTTATAACTTTGCTACTTTTTCATGTGAGTCTGTAAATACATCTGTCTTTGATTACTTTATATGTCGTACATACATTTTTGTAGTGTGCATATATGTAAATCTTGTTGTAGTGAATTGTACATAAAATTACTTTAAGCTGGTGTAATTGTTTTCTCTCAAAATGAACAGAAGAAAATTAAGTAGACGATTGAATGATTTTTCCTTATTAGTAAAGAATTCACTTATGTTTTTACTATATCGTAATAGAAGGAATGAAACTCTTACAACAGTTAGGAATAACAAACTTATGCTTGAAATATAGATCTGAGGACTTAGTTGTAGATGAAGGTGTTAAATCCAGTGTTACCCTTCAAGAGAGGTGCCTGGCTCTTGATCCAAAGAACTGGAGCTGCCCTCCTTTTCCTTGGATTGAATCTGATTGCCTCAGTCCTCAAGGCACTGTGCGACTCCCAATTAGTACAATACTACGATGCAAGGAGGGAAGAGTATATGGAGAAAAAGAGAGAGGTTAAGAGAGTGGTGAAGCAATGTAAAAAGAGAGCAAATGAGAGAGTGGGTGAGATGTTATCAACAAATTTTGTTGAAAATAAGAAAAAGTTTTGGAGTGAGATTAACAAGTTAAGAAAGCCTAGAGAACAAATGGATTTGTCAGTTAAAAATAGGAGAGGAGAGTTATTAAATGGAGAGTTAGAGGTATTGGGAAGATGGAGGGAATATTTTGAGGAATTGTTAAATGTTGATGAAGATAGGGAAGCTGTGATTTCATGTATAGGGCAAGGAGGAATAACATCTTGTAGGAGTGAGGAAGAGCCAGTTGTGAGTGTGGGGGAAGTTCGTGAGGCAGTAGGTAAAATGAAAGGGGAAAGGCAGCCGGGATTGATGGGATAAAGATAGAAATGTTAAAAGCAGGTGGGAATATAGTTTTGGAGTGGTTGGTGCAATTATTTAATAAATGTTTGGAAGAGGGTAAGGTACCTAGGGATTGGCAGAGAGCATGCATAGTTCCTTTGTATAAAGGCAAAGGGGACAAAAGAGAGTGCAAAAATTATAGGGGGATAAGTCTGTTGAGTATACCTGGTAAAGTGTATGGTAGAGTTATTATTGAAAGAATTAAGAGTAAGACGGAGAATAGGATAGCAGATGAACAAAGAGGCTTTAGGAAAGGTAGGGGGTGTGTGGACCAGGTGTTTACAGTGAAACATATAAGTGAACAGTATTTAGATAAGGCTAAAGAGGTGTTTGTGGCATTTATGGATTTGGAAAAGGCATATGACAGGGTGGATAGGGGGGCAATGTGGCAGATGTTGCAGGTGTATGGTGTAGGAGGTAGGTTACTGAAAGCAGTGAAGAGTTTTTACGAGGATAGTGAGGCTCAAGTTAGAGTATGTAGGAAAGAAGGAAATTATTTCCCAGTAAAAGTAGGCCTTAGACAAGGATGTGTGATGTCACCGTGGTTGTTTAATATATTTATAGAGGGGGTTGTAAGAGAAGTAAATGCGAGGGTCTTGGCAAGAGGCGTGGAGTTAAAAGATAAAGAATCACACATAAAGTGGGAGTTGTCACAGTTGCTCTTTGCTGACGACACTGTGCTCTTGGGAGATTCTGAAGAGAAGTTGCAGAGATTGGTGGATGAATTTGGTAGGGTGTGCAAAGGAAGAAAATTAAAAGTGAATACAGGAAGGAGTAAGGTTATGAGGATAAAAAGATTAGGTGATGAAAGATTGGATATCAGATTGGAGGGAGAGAGTATGGAGGAGGTGAATGTATTCAGATATTTGGGAGTGGACGTGTCAGCGGATGGGTCTATGAAAGATGAGGTGAATCATAGATTTGATGAGGGGAAAAGGGTGAGTGGTGCACTTAGGAGTCTGTGGAGACAAAGAACTTTGTCCTTGGAGGCAAAGAGGGGAATGTATGAGAGTATAGTTTTACCAACGCTCTTACATGGGTGTGAAGCATGGGTGATGAATGTTGCAGCGAGGAGAAGGCTAGAGGCAGTGGAGATGTCATGTCTGAGGGCAATGTGTGGTGTGAATATAATGCAGAGAATTCGTAGTTTGGAAGTTAGGAGGAGGTGCGGGATTACAAAAACTGTTGTCCAGAGGGCTGAGGAAGGGTTGTTGAGGTGGTTCGGACATGTAGAGAGAATGGAGCGAAACAGTGTGACTTCAAGAGTGTATCAGTCTGTAGTGGAAGGAAGGCGGGGTAGGGGTCGGCCTAGGAAAGGTTGGAGGGAGGGGGTAAAGGAGGTTTTATGTGCGAGGGGCTTGGACTTCCAGCAGGCATGCGTGAGCGTGTTTGATAGGAGTGAATGGAGACAAATGGTTTTTAATACTTGACGTGCTGTTGGAGTGTGAGCAAAGTAACATTTATGAAGGGGTTCAGGGAAACCGGCAGGCTGGACTTGAGTCCTGGAGATGGGAAGTACAGTGCCTGCACTCTGAAGGAGGGGTGTTAATGTTGCAGTTTAAAAACTGTAGTGTAAAGCACCCTTCTGGCAAGACAGTGATGGAGTGAATGATGGTGAAAGTTTTTCTTTTTCTGGCCACCCTGCCTTGGTGGGAATCGGCCAGTGTGATAATAATAAAAAAAGAAATACTATGTGGAAGAAGTGAGAGTGATGGTACAGAGGGAGAATCAGGTGTTTAGGGAAAGACTTGAACAAAATAATGAGGGAAAATAAAAGGTCACAGTTGATGTAGCAAATTTGTATCAGCTAAAAAAAATTATATTGTGGATGTACATAGGCGAGACTGTTGTACACCGAGAGAGAAAGGAGGATGTATGTCAGAGCACTGAATGAGGTGTGGTTTCAGATGAACTCGATTGATGATTATTACAATCATAACAAAGCACCAAACCCACAAGGGTCATACAGCGCTGATAAGTGATTGATGAAATGGACAGCTTCTACACTTACCGAGGTAGGACTGTCAGGTAATCCTGACAGTTACTAATATTTTATGATCAACAGTCCTGTCCATCAGAGGGCACTCCTAGTTTATTTCAGATATCTTTAACAATATCAGCGCTGGACAAACTTGCAAGCTTAAGAATGGCCTTCAGTAGCCCAAACATGTACATTCAAAATGCACTTTATTGCATGCAACCCATTCCTACATATGCAGCACCTCATTCCACTTTGCACAAATGTCCTTAATCACTGAAGAAGGCACATTCTCCTCTCTCTCTTCCTCCTCCTCTGAAGCAATTTCCAGTCTGTTGCTGTTCCAGTTGAAGGTCTTGCAGCTCTTCAGTGGTTAGCTCTTCCCTGTGGTCCTCCACCAACTCTTCCACATCCTGGCCATTTACCTCCAACCCCACAGATGAACGTGCGAAGTAATGCTCACTCGACCAGTGACAAAGCCAGACTGAGACACATACGCATGAGTGGCGGCTTTCCAGGCAGGCGAACACGTCTGATACATGTGATTTCTGCTTGTAGGTACGAAATCTGGACCAAAATTTCGTCTAAATCCGAAACATACGACATTCGGTGTGTACGAAATCCGGAGTTTCACTGTATTAGAATTTTGACACCAAACATCCACAGAGATATCAGAAAATATTTCAACTTAAGAGTGGTAGACATGGAATGACCTTTACAATTATACAGTGAAAGCAAATTCCATATAGGGGGTTTAAAACTAGATATAATACACTATATTATTCAAAGGTTAAGAGGGTGACCAAGAGCTGGAGCTCAATACCTTGAATTCAAATAAGTTCATATAGATAACTACAAAATAAGCAACCCATTCCAGTACCTTATTCCTGCCTGCATTCAGCAGTTCAATCTTAATCCCATCTATACCTGCCATTTTTTTTTTTAAATTTTAACCTGTTTTCAATTTCACCCATTCTAGCACTACCCTGTGAGCATATAATAACAGTAATAATAATAATAAATATTCCTCATTTTTTGGTGCTGGATGACCCCTATTGGTTTAGTACTTCCCTATGGCTACAAATAACCCTTGTTGCAAACATATTTCCTGCAGTTTCATCATTTACATTCAAAAAAAATTCTCAAAATATTCTCCATCTCTAACACCATAACTTTTTAATTCAGTCTTTGTCCACTTCTACCATTAACACATCCATTTACTCCCTTAAATTCCTCACCTTACTTCTCTCTCTGTTTCTAACTCTCAATTAAACAAAATGTTCTAACAATGCACCCTTTATTTGCTCTTATTATCCACTTTTTCATTTTTTTATTTTTTCCATATAATATCCTTGACACCAACTCGAGCATCTTTTTTTTTTGTATCTTTTATCTGTTGTCCTAAATGATACTGACAGATTTAGCAGTTTGCATAATAATAATAATCATTCTCCATATACAGTCCACCTTTCTTAAACTATGTAATCTTTACATTGTAAAAACTTTTGTGTATAAACTTTTTTTCTTCACCACTATTTTCACCTCGACTGAAATTGAAATAAGTCTTGAACCTGCTGCCAGGAAGCCAAGAGAAATCATTGTATAATGCCAGTGCATATGCTCTTCAGCTCTGAAGTATCTACTGGTGGCGGTTATTATTATATTTATAGGAAAGTGCAGAACCTGTAGGGGTCATACAGCATTAAGTGTGGTGGTGGCATTGTTGACATATAGGGTCTTCTTAAAAAAAAAAAAAACTTCCTAAGAAAAAAGTGTAACTTTTTTTCTGGTTCACAAGCTTCATATACTACAACAGTGCTGTATGACCCTTGTGGGTTAAGCACTTAGGTTTGATTGTAATAATAATAATACACACCACGAAGAGGCGGGGCAAGGAGCTAGGACTCGACCCCTGCAACCTCAACGAGGTGAGTACAGACACCACACTAGAACAACATTACACCAGCAGTCCCTAATTGCAACACTTAAACCTATGTGTAACTAGTATTATTTGGGAAAATTAGGTAAAATCAGGCAGAAATACTAACTGTAAGATAAGATAAGATAAGATAAGATTTCGTTCGGATTTTTAACCCCGGAGGGTTAGCCACCCAGGATAACCCAAGAAAGTCAGTGCGTCATCGAGGACTGTCTAACTTATTTCCATTGGGGTCCTTAATCTTGTCCCCCAGGATGCGACCCACACCAGTCGACTGACACCCAGGTACCTATTTGCTGCTAGGTGAACAGGACAACAGGTGTAAGGAAACGTGTCGAAATGTTTCCACCCGCCGGGAATCGAACCCGGGCCCTCCGTGTGTGAAGCGGGAGCTTTAGCCACCGGGCCATATAAAGCACATAAGTGTGGACTGCTTGCTGACACGATGTTTCCAAGCAGTTGTAACGTAACATTAGTAAGCAACTGCTGAAGCCTAACTCAAAGCTTACCCTTGACCCTGACCTTGAATATATAGGGCACAGGCTGATTTTCAAACTTTTTTTTTTAGAAAAAAAAAAAAAAAAAAAAAAAAGCCCGCCTTATATGCCGGAAAACATGGTAATTCCTAAAACGGACTAATGTAAATTCAGTGCAAGTACCGAGACACGATACATAGATGTCTGTAGTGACTGTATCTCAAAACTCAATTAGTTCTTAAGACCCTCACTAGAAGGCACTCACCTGAGAATGGCTATCTTGATCTCACAAATGCAGACATTGATGCCTTTAAACAACAATTAACCTTTCAGCTGAAAAAGCAAGTCAACAGTGTCAAAACTATTATTATTATTATAATCAAAAAGAAGTGCTATACCACAAGGACTATACAGCTACAGTGTCAAAAGCCATAAAGATAAAAAGATACATTATATAGTGAGTCACAAACATCCCAAATTTTATGCAGATAGAATGATAACACCATCAAAATGTTGAGAAAATATTGTTCCAACAAAAAGGAAAATCAGTATTATCATCAAAAGCACTGAACTCATAAGTGTATAATAGTACCTGGCCAATGGGAGGGGAGATGGAGTAATCAGATTTGGTCTGAGGAAGAAAAGGGTTGCTTCAACTCCTTGGATCAAAACCCCTGTGCCAGTATCACAAAAAATAAAAAATAAAAGAATTAACATTCCCAACAGTCATCATGGGCTTTTACTGAGATGCAAAACAATATAAGAAGTTAAGAATTCCAATATTCAATACCAAAACAGAATAAGTTTGGTGAGAATGTGGAGTCAAAAGCACATTGCTAATAAAAGCGAATTGAATGGCTTGTTCCTCAACAAACTTTCACTGGGAAAACATTATCTTTACTACTGGTGAGATGGTGTTGAGATACTAGAAGAAAACACTGACTGTCACTGATGCAAATTCCAGATCAAGACATTAACAGTGATCTATAGTAATCCCCTGCATCTGCAGGGGTACATTCCAAGACCTACTGTGGATACCCAAAACCATGGATAGTAGGGAACCCTATACAGTGGTACCCTGAGTTTCATACACCTCCCAACTTGAACAATTACATAAGTGTATTATGGTAAGTGCTTTTGTAAGTGCATTTTTGGGGGTCTGAAATGGACTAATCTAATTTACATTACACAATACACAAATAACCCGCACATAAAAGAGAGAAGCTTACGACGACGTTTCGGTCCGACTTGGACCATTGACAAAGTCACACTAACAGAGGTGGAGCAGGACGGCTATATATAGGCAGGAAGAGGTGGAGGTAGTAGTAGTAGTAGTAGTACAAGAATTGTATATAATACCGACAGGATGAAATGACACATGCACAACACCCGGGCATCCCCACCGTAGACGTTTCGCCATCCAGCCAGCCACTGGATGGAGAAACGTCCACAACAAAGACAACCAGACGCCGCACATGTGTCTTAATTTCATCAGTAGTTGTAGTAGAAGAAGAAGAGGTAGTAGTAGTGGTAGTGGTAGAAGTGGGAAATAAGGAAGACGAGCCAGTCAAAAACAAAGGAAGGGGAGCACTGCAAGAGAGCTAGAAACCCACAGAGGGAGAGCAAGCGCACCGAGGTGCGTGAACAAATTTATTTGGTAACGGCACTCGAACAGCCTTCTGAAATAAATTATGGCCAAAACTCGGGGTACCACTGTATATGTCGTTTTTTTTGTTTACGTACATACCTATGATAAAGTTTATTTGATAACTTACACACAATAAGTGAAGAATTTGCACTTTTTCACTGGCGGGAAGCACTTCACGGCTTCTCTTAGGCTCTGAAGAACTACCAGCATCACTGCTTTTGTGCATTGGGGTCATTATTAAGCAAAATTAAGGGTTATTTTAGGGCTTTGGTAAACTTTGGATAACCGAAACAGTGGAAACTGAATCTGCAGGGGTTCCACTGTATATGTAAAGAACAAAAAGACACGATATCGTGACTGGAACAATACGCAAAAAACCCGCACGTGAAAGAGAGGAGCCTATGACAATGTTTTGGTTCGACGTGGATCATTTACGTATCACACTAACACATAATGGTGAGGGAGCCAGTATATATATAGGAGAGGGGACAGGACAAGATACAGAGAGGAAGAAAGAAGTGACTTGTAAATGTGGGTTATTTGTGTATCTATATGTAGTTTTAATCACAAGTCAACACCATTTAAGGGAGATGCCTCGATGCACTTGACTTATTTACTCCTTCCTTGCGTCGAACCTGATTGCCTCCCATGCCACAGATACTCTTCAACCCCTACGGATTTACTGCTTTAAAGTAAAAATATAAATATTCAGAATCAACTCGCCCAGAAATATTGAATAAAATTGGCTGACCCTTGTGGCTGGTTTTGAGGGTTCTACACCCATAGCCATTCCTGAGACGAGACTTCCTTCTCTGGCTGCATCGTCAACCAAGTTACTGTTACTAGTGGCCTGTGTACTTAGTGCAAATACTGGTTTGCCACTTGTGGGTAAAGATTTCTGTGGAAACTGTTCAGCAGATAATAAGAAGTAGTCATCACATGCACATTCTATAAAACTTATCTGCAAAGAGTGAAGATAACATTATCAAGGTGTAAAGTTGAAATTAAAAGAAGATACTAGCAACAATTTATATTTTTATTGAGATGTTACACATGCATGTATAGAATATATAGCTGTTTCACTGTCATACTCCATCACACAGGACTGGTTACAAAATGTCCAGATACATCAACCTGAGCTGGTAGGCTTCAGTAGGTCAATGAGGATTTTATTATACTTTTTTATTAACAAATCACCCATTTCCCACCAAGGCAGGGTGACCCAACAAAGAAGAAACACTTTTATCAGCATTCACTCCATCACTGTCTAACCAGAGGCATGCCTATACTAGTTAAAATAAACTGCAACATATCAACACCCATCCTTCAGAGTTCAGGCACTGTACTTCCCACCTCCAGGACTCAAGTCCTGCTAACCAGTTTCCCGAATCCCTCCATAAATGTTACTTTGCTCACACTCAAAAGCACATTGTCATAAAAACCATTCAGCACCACTCACTCATTTCTTACACACACACATACTGAAAGTCCTAGCCCCCTCACACACAAAACCTCATTTATCCCCTTCCTCCAACCTTTCCTAGGACGACCCCTACCCCACCTTCCAGTTGAGCTATCAGGCTACAATCAAATTTGGCTCTTTGAAATAAAAGACCTTGCTCACCATATCACTCTATTCAGCATCCTCAATACTTGTTTGTTTCCACCCAACACTAAAATTCACCTCCTTTATGCACTGCACAATTCTTCTAGAGCATTTCATGGTTTATAAATATAAATACGTTAAACAAAGACTACATTTATTATTGTACACAAATCATCAAATTAAATTTTAATGACAAAAAAAATTGTCTCAGAAACCATAAAATGTGAAAATATTTTCTCCATTTTTTCTGTTTAGCAGCCAAGTAGAGTAGGTGTTAGTGATGGTGATTTACAGGCTATCATAGGTACTTCGTAACTCTAGACAGACAGGCAGGCAGACACAGAGACACACAGAAACAGACAGACAGACAGACAGACAGACAGACAGACAGACAGACACAGACACACACACACACACACACACACACACACACACACACACACACACACACACACACACACACACACATACACACACACACACACACACACACACACACACAGACATGAGGCACTAAACTACAGACCTGTATCACTAACGTGTATAGTATGCAAGGTCATGGAGAAGGTCATCAGGAGGAGAGTGGTGGGACACCTGGAAAGAAACAAGTGTATAATTGACAACCAGCACGGTTTCAGGGAAGGAAAATCCTGTGTCACAAACCTACTAGTTTTATGACAAGGTGACAGAAGTAAGACAAGAGAGAGAGGGGTGGATCGACTGCGTATTTTTGGACTGCAAGAAGGCCTTCGACACAGTTCCTCACAAGAGGTTACTGCAAAAGCTAGAGGACCAGGCACACATAACAGGAAAGGCACTGCAATGGATCAGAGAATATCTGACAGGGAGGCAACAACGAGTCATGGTACGCGACGAGGTGTCAGAGTGGGCGCCTGTGACAAGCGGGGTTCCACAGGGGTCAGTCCTAGGACCTGTGCTGTTCTTGGTATACGTGAACGACATAACGGAAGGGATAGACTCAGAAGTGTCCTTGTTTGCAGATGATGTGAAGTTAATGAGAAGAATCAAATCGGACGAGGATCAGGCAGGACTACAAAGGGACCTGGACAGGCTACAAGCCTGGTCCAGCAACTGGCTCCTTGAATTTAACCCTGCCAAATCCAAAGTCATGAAGATTGGGGAAGGGTAAAGAAGACCGCAGACACAATATAGTTTAGATGGCCAAAGACTGCAAACCTCACTCAAGGAAAAAGATCTGGGGGTGAGTATAACACCGAGCATATCTCCTGAGGCGCACATCAATCAGATAACTGCTGCAGCATACGGGCGCCTGGCAAACCTACGGATAGCGTTCCGATACCTCAGTAAGGATTCGTTTAAGACTCTGTATACCATCTACGTCAGGCCCATACTGGAGTATGCAGCACCAGTTTGGAATCCACACCTAGTCAAGCACGTCAAGAAATTAGAGAAAGTGCAAAGGTTTGCAACAAGACTAGTCCCAGAGCTACGGGGATTGTCCTATGAAGAAAGGTTGAGGGAAATCGGCCTGACGACACTGGAGGCCAGGAGGGTCAGGGGAGACATGATAACGACATATAAAATACTGCGCGGAATAGACGAGGTGGACAAAGACGGGATGTTCCAGAGATGGGACACAGACACAAGAGGTCACAATTGGAAGTTGAAGACTCAGATGAATCGAAGGGATGTTAGGAAGTATTTCTTCAGTCATAGAGTAGTCAGGCCATAGAATAGCCTAGAAAGTGATGTGGTGGAGGCAGGAACCATACATAGTTTTAACGCGAGGTATGATAGAGCTCATGGGGCAGGGAGAGAGAGGACCTAGTAGCAATCAGCGAAGAGGCGGGGCCAGGAGCTGTGACTCGATCCCTGCAACCACAAATAGGTGAGTACACACACACACACACACACACACACACACACACACACACACACACACACACACAGAGCTCACCCTTAATAAATAAAAACATTACTAATTTATCACACTGTGACATGAAATTCATGAACATTTCTAGAAAGTAGCAAACAGGAGAGAAAAACTGTTTTACATTTCTAAATCTGCATAACACACAAGAGTTCTTCTACTTGATGTTCCACACTTCCTCAAACCCTGAACAAACTTTGGCACAGGTTAAGGCTGCAGAAAGATGGTACCTGGAGAAGGCAACTTCTTCTTCCACGTAGTCTGCCTCCACCTGAAGCGAAAAACAAATATTTTTAATCAATCATTATGAATTAAAAATAAATTTAGAGCAAAAAGGCATTCTACCATGACTGGAACAATACAGAAATAACCCACACACACAGGAGAGAGGAGCTTACGACGCCGAGTTATTTGTGTATGAATTATTGTGTATTGTATAAATTATTTTATAGTTTAGATGTAGTGCACTTCTTTACTGCTATTGAAAGACTTGGGGCATTAATACAATACAACCTAAGCTAATCTAGCACAATCCAATGCAATGAAATAACCAAACACACTAGTGAGTGTCCGTGGTTCGATTCCTGGTACAGGTGGAAACATTAGGCGTGTTTCCTTACACCTGCTGTTCCTGTTCACCTAGAAGTAGGTACCTGGGTGTTTACTGACTGGTGTGGGTTGCATCCTGGGGGACAAAATTAAGTTGCCCAAAATGCTCTGCATAACCAGGGCTTTCTATTGAGTATGTCACAAATGTCAAGTAGGTCTGTGTAAGTTGTATCATGTACTTATAGAAAAAAAGATTATTATTACAGTGGAACTCTGGTGTTTAAATGCATCAGACCTCAAATATACCAGGGTCTGAACAACTGAGTTCAGAAAAAACTGACCAGGTCTTTGAACATTTTTCTGGAGTCGAATATGTTGACTTGTTTAAAATTCAGTTGCAAAAAGCTATACAGAAAAGCCTAGTTTGAAAAGTACTTTGAAATGACTTCTGACACTGACTTTATTCTCAGAGACTTTTGGAAGAGTCAGTTCAACATCCTCCAGTGTGTGAGGCCAATAATTAAAGCGGGGAAAATACTGTTTCGGACATAGAACTTTTTGAAGTCTCAACACCACCTAGGTACCAATTAAGTTGAAACACCGAGGTTCCAACGTGTTATTAACATAGTAGTATGATAATTTATGTAACTGTATTAATATATGCCTGTACCTGAATAAACTTACTTATTTACTTACCCAAACTAAATGTAGTATTCTTTAACCAAGGGAAATGCTATGATATAAATGTTACATTAACAATTTCTCAGTCTATTTAAAAAAGTAGACCTTTCCATATATATTCCTAGCAAAAATATATTACTTATTTTCTGTGACTCTTTCCTATGATTTCTCAGTATTGTTCTTACCTTCCCATGTGCCATGGCACCAATAACGACGACGATTGGCTCGTCAGCAGGAACGAGCTCCCGAGGATTTACAAGATTTTTAGCCGTGAACGATGTGCCAATTTTCTTGCATCCAGGAGGGAGATGGTCTGTGACTGGATTACGTATCGCTTTTAAGAGCTTCATGTTTCCGTCAGAGGCTCGAACGCTCATCTTATGGAGGAGTTGAACTGAAAAATATATCATTATTGATAAGTATGTATCTTATGACAATGGATTAACATTTGATAAGAAGAATAAGTTGCAGTTATTGAATTGTAGTATCGGCACACCTATGGCAAGACAGTGATGGAGTGAGCGATGATGAAGGGGCTCTTCTTTCTTGGGTCGCCCTGCAAATGTGTTAATAAACTGACAATCTGACCATGGCAAGACTGAGTATACAAACCAGACCTATCAAATCAAGGCCTGGTCTCAGACCAGGCGGCGGGGGCATTGACCCCCGAAACCCTCTCCAGGTACTCTAGATCTCCAGGTACGGTTCAAGCCCCACATCCATCCTTCTGTTTATTCACTGACACTTGCTTATTACAAGTTAATCTGAGTTCATTTGATAACATTTGTAAGGAAGGATGGGAATGTCACAGTTGGGAAGGTCATCTGAACTGTGGTGTAAGCATACTCCTTGCAAGGCAGTGACTGAATAAATGACACTTAAAGCACTTTCTCTTTTTTGGATCACCTTATCTTGGTAGGAGACAGCATGTGTATTAAAAAAATATAAGCCAGCTTTCCTTGTCAGTCTGAAAATGTGTAATATAAGTGCTACAATTACAACTACTGAAAATAAAAGAGGAAATGCTGTAATAGAAGTTGTACTTTCTTTAAGAACTAGACAAAACAACATTGAGGAATATAAAGGAAGCCATCTGTGTAGGAAGTACACTATTTTCATTATTGCTATACCTAAAACAAACCATGTTATAACAATACACAAATAACTTGAACATAGGAGAAAGAAGCTTATGACAACATTTCAGTCCATCTTGGAAAGTTATATGTTGGACCAAAACATCATTATAAGCTTCTCTCTCCAATGTGCAGGTTATTTGTGTATTGTTCTAGTCATGGTATTGTGCCTTACACACATTCATGCTTACAAACACCCTGTTACACACATGAACACTTACAAACACCCTGTTACACATATCCACACTTAAAAACACCATTACAAGCATCCACATTAACAAACACGGTAGCTAAAAGTCAGATTTACAACCACTGAGCTACAATACAAATTTTTTTTTCTTAACACACTGGCCATCTTCCAACAAGGGAGGGTGACCCAAAAAAGAAGAAACACTTTCACCATAACTCACTCCATTACTGTCTTGCCACAGGAGCACTGATACTACAGTTCATAACTGCAAATATCCCCATCCTTTCTTCAAAGTGTAGGCACTGTACTTCCCACCTACAGGACCCAAGCCTGGCTAACCCATTTCCATGAATCTCTTCATAAATGTTAATTTGCTCACACTCCAACAGCTTGTCAAGTCAGAAAAACTACTTGCCTCGCCTTACTTCTATCTAACACACACACACTTGCTGAATGTCTAAGCCCCTTCAAATTTTTTTTTTTCTGTACCACTGTTTTATAAGGAAATATCTACTGTAGTGTCTAACTTTAAAAAATGAAACATAACTTGCATGTAATAAATCTTGGGCAGTGGAAAATGAGGAGACTACCAAGATTAGTTAGGTAATTAATGTATTCTGAAGGGAGTATGGGGCTCTTGATCCAATGAATTATAGCTCTCCTCCCTCAGATCAAACCTCAATGCCTTTCATTAACCAGATGCTCTATAATACATACAGGTTTAGTGCTTCCCCATGAATATAAAAATATTCTATTGCTCTGAAGGCAATACAAAATATTTTTAAAATGTTCAACATTACAATGTATTGTGCTGCTCTTTCCTAACATGTGTACAAGAAAACACCTCTAGGAAGAATTTCAGCTATACTGGTTTGCTACTATGACTGAAAATGATTCAAAATATCTTACCCATAAGACCAGCAAACCTCTTGAATGTTCGTGGTATTCTACACTGTGGATTGACCTCAATCAGGACATTCTTTTCTGTGTGAATATATACCTGGAGGCAGAAAAGTTCATGCTGTACCATAGCTTAGCATGTTTGGTATCACGTTTAAAATCATTAAAAAACGTACAGTGGAACCTTGACTTACGAGTTTAATCCGTTCCATGACCTAGCTTGTAACTTAATTTGCTCGTATATCAAATCAATTTTCCTCATTTAAATTAACTGAAATGCCATTAATCCGTTCCAGCGGAATTCCTGCTCTCTGGAGACAGGACAAAAATACTTCAATATGATGATAATATCAACTCTATGGCTTATTTATCAATCATAATTCATCTAATATGACAAATAAACAATATAAATAACATAGAAACATGATACATACTCTAGAATGAATAAAATACGTCATTATGTGACTAGTGGTGGCGGCGGCGGCGGCCATACCGCTCCAGCTGACTATATCTTCCATGCTCTTATTATAAGAGAAAATGGAGTGTTTGTGAGGGTAACTGCACTAGATCACTAGTTTCATAAGGAAAACACTGAAACAATGTATTAATAAATAAGAAATATTGTATAAAAACATAATAGAATGTAAAGAAATAAACTGGTTTTATAAAGTGTACATACATATTTACCTGGGAGAAGAGATGGAGGGTGGAGGGTTGAAGATGGAAGACAGGCAGAGCAGTGCCCCTCAACCCACAACATGCACACCTCCATCTTACTTGTTTATCTATGATTTCATGCTTTAATTCCATGGAAATCATCCTCTTTTTCTTCTCAGCACTGTCCTTTGCACTTACTTTCTTAGGATCCATGGTTGGAAAAAAGAAATTTGGCCAAATAGCTGAAATAATCGACTGAGCGATGGCTCATATCTTGAAAAACTTGTATTTTGGGACACTCTTCAGTCGAGGTTCCACTGTATTTGAATCTTTGTACAAATATATTAAGGTCAAATAGTTACAGTAAAATACATTCATGTTCTTGTGGTTTTGAAAGAGTTCATCTTTGCTATTCTATTAAACTGTACTCTGAATATCCATACGTCAAATTTTTGTGGTACCAAGAACCTGGTTCTTAAGGTAACTAATTTACTTATTTTTTAAGCAATGTACTGTACAAATTTATTGACTATATTGTACCTTTGATTAATACTATCATATTTTTCAACACATTAGCTGTATCCCACTGAAGCAGGGTGGTCTAAAAAAAAAAAGAAAGCTTTTCTTTTAAAATTTAGTAATGCATAGAGGAGAATGAGTTACTAGTCCCTTGCTCCTGGCATTTTAGCTGACTCTTACAACATGCATGGCTTATGGAGGAGAGAGAGAGAGAGCCAAATATGAGCAAGGTTGGAAAAAGAAGAAGGAATTAATTTCAACCTGAAGTTTGCCAGACTGATTAAGTGGAGAATCCTGCAACATTAGAAGGCACTGATGGAGAATATCTGGGCGGTAGTTTGCGGGATCCTTATTGTACTTCTTCATCAGTCCCATGTGGTCATCACAGTTGAGGAGCTCGTAACTTTTCCTACACTGTAACAAGGTAACGAATTAAGACATTCACTAGAAAACATCTCAAAATAAAATTTGATAAATGGCTTTTCTTTTACAAGAATATTTAACTAACACAAATAATCTTTGTATAACCATATGTAGAAAATCTAAATAGGGTTTAAATTTATCTTACTTTCACACTAAAGTGTACACATGTGTATCGGCTGGGTATTTTTATTCTGTAAATGTTCCACCAACCAGTGGCTTTATTAATGGAAATAAGTCACTCTGTCTGACTTTTTTGTGTTATCCCAGGTTCTCTACACATATGCTGCTATGTATGATAATTCTATGTACTAACTGTATTTGTGTATACCTGAATAAACTTACCTACTTACTAACTGATAAAGCCACTGCTACCATACCTTCACACTCTCCAGGTTCGCTCTCTCTAAAATCACTATGAGCCGCTTCTCTTGATTCCTCATGTGGGCCGGCGTCAGCTGCCGGTGAGACGACGTTTTATCTTCTTCACCATCCTCGAACTTTCTTTTCTTTCCCATGGCTTAAAAATATAAAGGTGAGTGAAAAAACAGTCTCAATAAAGTCTCAGAAATAAAAATAACTTGTATCATATAATGTCAGATGATACGAGTTAAATCTAGATTATGTACTATATTAGGTTATTCCCTGGATCAAGAGCCCTTCACGAGCATGAAGGAACACCCCTCTGAAGGGGATACTGCATAATTTATCACCAGGAAGCGCTAAGGCCGTAGGGGCCACACAGCACCTAGGGAATGGCAGGCAATCATGTTCAGCCAAAGAAAGGGAAGAACAGATTCAATTATCATTATAATCACAACTAAGCGCTAAACACACAAGGGTCAGAGAGCACTGCAGAGCAGGTACAATTCCTCGGATCAAGAGCCCCCCTGACCAGCATCAAGGCACCTCCCTGGAGGGGCCCAAACAGGTTTATAACACTCACTGTGTTTTTCAAAGTTGCTCTTGCAGCTGCAACAGTTTAAAGTGTCTTCTCTCCTTCTTAGGTGCACCTGCACACTTGCACGAACCTTCCCTGCAACAAGTTGCAAGCAAAATAACAGCAACGATCAACAACGTCTGCAGCACGAGGCTCTGAAGTTAGTAAACAACTTGTTCGGATGACTGGCTCAGGCTTAAGTAATTATAATTATAATAATTGTAATTATACTAATACTACTACTACTACTAATAATAATAAATATAATAATAATAATGACAATAATAATAATAATAATAATAATAATAATAATAATAATAATAATAATAATAATAATAATAGTGAAATAATAATAATAATAATAATAATAATAATAATAATAATAATAATAATAATAATAATAATAATAATAATAATAATAATAATAATAATAATATTAATATTAATAATACCTGGAGAGGGTTCCGGGGGTCAACGCCCCCTGTCTGTGACCACTGGACAAGCACCTAAAGTCAGTTCCTGATCAGCCGGGCTGTGGCTCGTACGTTGGTTTGCGTGCAGCCAGCAGCAACAGCCTGGTTGATCAGGCGCTGATCCACCAGGAGGCCTGGTCACAGACCGGGCCGCGGGGGCGTTGACCCCCGAAACTCTCTCCAGGTAAACTCCAGGCCCCATGGTGGATCAAGACCCGATGAACAAGGCTGTTACGGCTGGTCAGGAACTGACTTTAGGTGCTTGTCCAGTGCCAGCTTGAAGACAGCCAGGGGTCTATTGGCAATCCCCCATATGTATGCTGGGAGGCAGTTGAACAGTCTCGGGCCCCTGACACTTATTGTATGGTCTCTTAACGTGCTAGTGACACCCCTGCTTTTCATTGGGGGGATGTTGCATCGTCTGCCAAGTCTTTTGCTTTCGTAGTGAGTGATTTTCGTGTGCAAGTTCGGTACTAGTCCCTCTAGGATTTTCCAGGTGTATATAATCATGTATCTCTCCCTCCTGCGTTCCAGGGAATACAGTTTTAGGAACCTCAAGCGCTCCCAGTAATTGAGGTGTTTTATCTCCGTTATGCGCGCCGTGAAGGTTCTCTGTACATTTTCTAGGTCAGCAATTTCACCTGCCTTGAAAGGTGCTGTTAGTGTGCAGCAATATTCCAGCCTAGATAGAACAAGTGACCTGAAGAGTGTCATCATGGGCTTGGCCTCCCTAGTTTTGAAGGTTCTCATTATCCATCCTGTCATTTTTCTAGCAGATGCGATTGATACAATGTTATGGTCCTTGAAGGTGAGATCCTCCGACATGATCACTCCCAGGTCTTTGACGTTGGTGTTTCGCTCTATTTTGTGGCCAGAATTTGTTTTGTACTCTGATGTTTTAATTTCCTCGTGTTTACCATATCTGAGTAATTGAAATTTATCATCATTGATTTCATAATAATAATAATAATAATAATAATAATAATAATAATAATAATAATAATAATAATAATAATAATAATAATCTTTATCTCTACCAGTACATGATACAACTTGTACAGACCATAGCTGACATCAATGACATACTGTATAGAAAGTTCCTGGTTATGTAGAGCATTTCCCACAACTTGGGTTAATTTTGTCCCCAGGATGCCACCCACACCAGTCACCTAACACCCAGGTACCTACTTACTGTAAATAAGTTTATTTAGGCACAGATACACATAAGGACAATTATCATACATAGCGTAAATTACTCAGGATAAAACCAAAAATTTAGACAAAGTGACTTATTTCCATTCTGGTCCTTGTACGTGCAGGTGCAGATTGTGGTCCTTGTACGTGCAGGTGCAAATTGTGGTCCTTGTACGTGCAGGTGCAAATTGTGGTTCTTGTACGTGCAGGTGCAAATTGTGGTCCTTGTAAGTGCAGGTGCAAATTGTGGTCCTTGTACGTGCAGGTGCAAATTGTGGTCCTTGTACGTTCAGGTGCAGATTGTGGTCCTTGTACGTGCAGGTGCAAATTGTGGTCCTTGTACGTGCAGGTGCAGATTGTGGTCCTTGTACGTGCAGGTGCAAATTGTGGTCCTTGTACGTGCAGGTGCAGATTGTGGTCCTTGTACGTGCAGTTGCAAATTGTGGTCCTTGTACGTGCTGGTGCAGATTGTAGTCCTTGTACGTGCAGGTGCAGATTGTGGTCCTTGTACGTGCAGGTGCAGATTGTGGTCCTTGTAAGTGCAGGTGCAAATTGTGGTCCTTGTACGTGCAGGTGCAAATTGTGGTCCTTGTACGTGCAGGTGCAAATTGTGGTCCTTGTACGTGCAGGTGCAAATTGTGGTCCTTGTACGTGCAGGTGCAGATTGTGGTCCTTGTACGTGCAGGTGCAGATTGTGGTCCTTGCACGTGCAGGTGCAAATTGTGGTCCTTGTACGTGCAGGTGCAAATTGTGGTCCTTGTACGTGCAGGTGCAGATTGTGGTCCTTGTACGTGCAGGTGCAAATTGTGGTCCTTGTACGTGCAGGTGCAAATTGTGGTCCTTGTACGTGCAGGTGCAAATTGTGGTCCTTGTACGTGCAGGTGCAAATTGTGGTCCTTGTATGTGCAGGTGCAGATTGTGGTCCTTGTACGTGCAGGTGCAGATTGTGGTCCTTGTACGTGCAGGTGCAGATTGTGGTCCTTGTACGTGCAGGTGCAAATTGTGGTCCTTGTACGTGTAGGTGCAAATTGTGGTCCTTGTACGTGCAGGTGCAGATTGTGGTCCTTGTACGTGCAGTTGCAAATTGTGGTCCTTGTACGTGCTGGTGCAGATTGTAGTCCTTGTACGTGCAGGTGCAGATTGTGGTCCTTGTACGTGCAGGTGCAGATTGTGGTCCTTGTAAGTGCAGGTGCAAATTGTGGTCCTTGTACGTGCAGGTGCAAATTGTGGTCCTTGTACGTGCAGATGCAGATTGTGGTCCTTGTACGTGCAGGTGAAAATTGTGGTCCTTGTAAGTGCAGGCGCAAATTGTGGTCCTTGTACGTGCAGGTGCAGATTGTGATCCTTGTACGTGCAGGTGCAGATTGTGGTCCATGTACGTGCAGGTGCAGATTGTGGTCCTTGTAAGTGCAGGTGCAAATTGTGGTCCTTGTACGTGCAGGTGCAAATTGTGGTCCTTGTACGTGCAGGTGCAGATTGTGGTCCTTGTACGTGCAGGTGCAAATTGTGGTCCTTGTACGTGCAGGTGCAGATTGTGGTCCTTGTACGTGCAGGTGCAAATTGTGGTCCTTGTACGTGCAGGTGCAAATCGTGGTCCTTGTACGTGCAGGTGCAGATTGTGGTCCTTGTACGTGCAGGTGCAAATTGTGGTCCTTGTACGTGCAGGTGCAAATTGTGGTCCTTGTACGTGCAGGTGCAGATTGTGGTCCTTGTACGTGCAGGTGCAAATTGTGGTCCTTGTACGTGCAGGTGCAAATTGTGGTCCTTGTAAGTGCAGGTGCAGGTTGTGGTCCTTGTACGTGCAGGTGCAGATTGTGGTCCTTGAACGTGCAGGTGCAGATTGTGGTCCTTGTAAGTGCAGGTGCAAATTGTGGTCCTTGTACGTGCAGGTGCAAATTGTGGTCCTTGTACGTGCAGGTGCAGATTGTGGTCCTTGTACGTGCAGGTGCAGATTGTGGTCCTTGTAAGTGCAGGTGCAAATTGTGGTCCTTGTACGTGCAGGTGCAAATTGTGGTCCTTGTACGTGCAGGTGCAGATTGTGGTCCTTGTACGTGCAGGTGCAAATTGTGGTCCTTGTACGTGCAGGTGCAAATTGTGGTCCTTGTACGTGCAGGTGCAGATTGTGGTCCTTGTACGTGCAGGTGCAGATTGTGGTCCTTGTACGTGCAGGTGCAGATTGTGGTCTTTGTACGTGCAGGTGCAGATTGTGGTCCTTGTACATGCAGGTGCAGATTGTGGTCCTTGTACGTGCAGGTGCAGATTGTGGTCCTTGTACGTGCAGTTGCAGATTGTGGTCCTTGTACGTGCAGGTGCAAATTGTGGTCCTTGTACGTGCAGGTGCAGATTGTGGTCCTTGTACGTGCAGGTGCAAATTGTGGTCCTTGTACGTGCAGTTGCAGATTGTGGTCCTTGTACGTGCAGGTGCAGATTGTGGTCCTTGTACGTGCAGGTGCAGATTGTGGTCCTTGTACGTGCAGGTGCAGATTGTGGTCCTTGTACGTGCAGGTGCAGATTGTGGTCCTTGTACGTGCAGGTGCAGATTGTGGTCCTTGTACGTGCAGGTGCAGATTGTGGTCCTTGTACGTGCAGGTGCAGATTGTGGTCCTTGTACGTGCAGGTACAGATTGTGGTCCTTGTACGTGCAGATGCAAATTGTGTGACAGGGACGTCAGGAATTACTTTTTCAGCCTCAGGATGGTCAAGTGGAGCGGCATGCCGTCAAAACAAGGTAAAGGCAAGCATCTAATGCATAGTTTTAAGGTTAGGTATGACAAGAAAACAGTTAAGGAGGTTCTGTACCTCGATTGGTAACGTACTCAGCTCACACACTGAAGTCCGTGGTTCGATCCCCGGTACGGGTGGAAACATCAGGACGTGTTTCCTTAAGACACCTGCTGTCACTGTTCACCTAGCAGTAAGTAGGTACCTGGGTGTTAGGTGACTGGTGTGTGTGGCATCCTGGAGACAAAATTAACCCAAGTTGTGGGAAATGCCCTGCATAACAAGGGACTTCCTATATAGTATGTCATTGATGTCAGCTAACCAGACTGAGAGTCGAAGATCAAAATGAATTTTTTATGAGAGAGCCACAGAATTTGGTTAACACAAGCCTATCCGATGTTATCCTGACGCCAAATGACTTCGAACAAGCGATAAATGACATGCCCATGCACTCTGCCCCAGGGCCAGACTCATGGAACTCTGTGTTCATCAAGAACTGCAAGAAGCCCCTATCACGAGCCTTTTCCATCCTATGGAGAGGGAGCATGGACACGGGGGTCGTCCCACAGTTACTAAAAACAACACTCCACAAAGGGGGCAGTAAAGCAACAGCAAAGAACTACAGACCGATAGCACTAACATCCCATATCATAAAAACTTTGAAAGGGTCCTAAGAAGCAAGATCACCACCCATCTAGAAACCCATCAGTTACACAACCCAGGGCAACATGGGTTTAGAACAGGTCGCTCCTGTCTGTCTCAACTATTGGATCATTACGACAAGGTCCTAAAT